TTGCTTTTCTTTTTTCTACCTTCCAATCTGTCATTTAGAGTACAGAAGACTTATATTACATTCTCCCAATATTACCTACACATGTTATTATATATATCTATATCTACAAATATGTATAAAATGTATATATTGCACATGCAATCCTTCTAGAATGCTGAAATTCTTTTATAAAGCTAATTTTTGCTATTAAATTTAATTCAGAATGGGACAGGGACCAGAGTCTAGAATGTACTTTGGACTGTATTTTTATAAATACTTAATTTTTAGATTGGAGGACCTGACATCACTCGGTTAACTTCTCGTTTTGGAAAAGACTATGTCAATGTCATGAATATGCTAATCTTAACACTTCCTGGGACACCTATAACTTACTATGGTGAAGAAATAGGAATGGAAGATATTTTAGCAACAAATATAACTGAAAGCTATGATACTGTAAGTATAATACAGCTTATATATTTCAGTAGTAAACATGTTTATTAAGCCAGAGAAAGATTATGTTTTATTAGTTTAGTGAATACCAACTCAGTATCATAACTTTTATGAGGGTCAGCAAGGTCTGTTGGAATGTAAGCTGGATTAGGTCTCCAGCCTTCCTTGGACTCCAGCCCTGGCCCTGCCTGCCCCTTGCCAAGCCTGTGTACTTGGGTGACTCATTTGGCTTCTGGGGAGTCTTTTTCCCCCTCTAAAATGGGGGTGATTTTTGCTCTGTTTAGCTCACAGAGTTTTTGTGAGGAATGAAGTACTTTGTAAACTGTAAAGTGCGACATAAATTTAAGGTGATAGTATTAGAGTTCCTAAGGCCTTACTCTGCCTTCTGAAAAGGAGCCAACTGAAAATATTTGTTTTTCCAATCTTTGTTCTGCCACATTTCATTTCCAAAGCAGATGGCAGAAATCATTCTTTTATTGTTCTGCACGACCAAATGTGGTATTTGGTACAAAGTGAGGTCACCTCCTCAGAGTTATATGGATGGCCACACACTGAGCCTAAATCCTCAAGTCTGAGAGTAGACGAAATAGATGATTCTAGAGAATGGCCCCCATTTCAGCTGTTTCCTGAACAAATGCTTGTTTTGACCACATATAGCCCAATTTCCTAATATTGGATTAAAGTGCATTTTCTGTTATCTAGGGGCTAGAATATTAAACTTAACAAAGCCCAGAAATGAAATTTATGCAATAAACTGGTTGGATCAATGCTGCTACAACTGACTGTAGGTTAAAACTACTATCATGAAATGTTACATATTTCAAGTAATTTCTTGAAAGTAAATTTAATTTATTTGCAGCTACATATTTCTGAACTACTGCACTGGAAATGATGAATGGACTGGGCAATCTAACAAATGTTGAGCTCCTAGTATGTGCTAGTTACTATAAATGATAATTAAGCAATGTTTGTGCGAATTTTTAGAATGTGATTACATATGTACACTTTGTTCTTTTGTTTTCTAGACCCTGCTTTCAAAGGCACCAATGCAGTGGGACAACAGCTCCAATGCTGGTTTTAGTGAAGGGAGCCAAACCTGGCTCCCTATTAGTACAGGTTACCAAGTTCTGAATGTTGATGTAAGTGCTAATCTGCCAAATTAATTGGATGGATTCCGAAAATCAAAAATGTTGTGAACATAAGTGTGATTCTTCTTGCTCACTTCTGGTCCAACTTAGGCTTTGTTGTTAATTGAGTGGTAACTTTCCATACTCACCTCAGTACCGTGTATAAACACAATGGAATTACAGACTCTTTAAAGTCATACTTTGTAGCAAACTTTCTCTGTATTAAGCACTTACTAATGTGTTGCACCTATGTGCCAAGACATGGTGCTAAACACTGGGGATACAAAGACAAAAAATAAAAACAGTTTCTGACCTCAAGGAATTTACATTCTGAGGTCATCGTTTTTCTTCCTTTGGAGTTAACATACTGAAATGTCACAAGTAAGTTTCACCAGTCACCAGTCAATGCCACATATTGATAATTCCTTTGAGCTGAGATATGAAGGTAGATGTTCTGTTTTAGCCCATTACATACTAAACAAAGTAGGAAAAAGAACTTTAAAATTATGTGTATTTGATAGCAAGGCTGTTTATGTGAAACAGTGCGGGCCACTTGGTATGACCAGGACAGTGGGGAGTCAAGGCTTTTTAAGTCGTTCATTAGGGGTTATGTTAATATCTTCCAATGTCATAGTGACAAAAAGTTTGGTAAATTTAAAGACATAAAATTTCTTACACAGGATGTTTCCCAGTTGTAGGTAACAGCTGGCATTCGTACAGCACTTTAAGGTTTACAAATCACTTTGCTCACATCAGTGCTGTGCAACATGTTGTGCAAGTATTCCCATTTTACAGATGAGAAAATGGTGATGCAGAAAAGTGATTTATGGACAGAAGCAGCCTCTGAGGCCATCTAGTCTAAAGAGAAGGTCCCAAGGCCCAGAGAGTTCAAGAAGCTTGCTCAGGGCTACACAGCTAGTGATCCTGATTCCATGTCCAGTAGGTCATGTTGCCTTTCCAAAAGTACAACCTTTAAAATCCTTAATAAAATTGTTATCCTCACTTCACAGCTGCATAAGTCTTTGATTTACAGAGAAGTTAAAGGGTTTGCCCTTGATGCCACAGCTAGTAAGTAGTACGGCCATACTCTGAAACCTGGATCTTCCTTGACTTGAGGGTCAATGCTCATAAATCGTACAGTTAATTACTACTCCCATCAGGAATTTTTACTGCAGGGAGTCAGCAGGATCCATTAGCTGGAAGAGTTCTCTATCAAGTCCTCAGGGCACAGTGTAAAGGTCTCTCTCTAAAAGGTTAATGTAGTTGATGAGCTCACTTTCATCACTTTCAGTGTCTAGTTTATTTTTAGGGTTTTCTGATATTTATTTTGGGTCTTAATCAAGCTAAGACCTGGCCATTTTGGCAACAAATGTGATATTTGTTTGGAGGGCTAAGGCTCTAAACAAATGAAGTCAGGTGTGAGACAGCACATCTCAGGAAGACTTGTTGGAATCTCACCTCCCATACCTATTGGCCATATGACCATGAGCAAACCACTTAAAGTCTCTGAACCTTCATGGCTCCCAGGGTGGATCTGTGGTGGGGCTCAAGTGGGATACTAGGTAAAGCGAGTCACAGATCACTGAGTGTCAGCACAGTGTAGAGGAAGGATGACTGGTCTTGAGAATCCGGATCTCATAGTGGGGAAAAAAATCTCTTAACTTCTCTTTATCTCAATTTCTGCATCTGTCAAACAGATAGTTTCCTTTAGGGCTGTTGGGAGGATGAAATGAAAGAATGTACAAAAGTGCTTGAAAACCTGAAAGCTCTTTGTAAATGTCAGCTGTCAGTCTTTTTCTCATAGCAGTTTGCAAGTGGGAGAAAAGGATCGAATGAAAAAGCAAGGTGAATCTATATTTCTCTTCCCAAGAGACTTACTTATTATATCACAACCATAACACTTTATTTCAAAATGTAACTACAAGATGTATTTGGGAAATAAATTTCTTGTATATCCTGTTAGGTATAGAAAATAATTTTTAAAATGTTATAATTACATTTACCTGATCAAACTTTTTTTAAAAACAGGTTCAGGAGAATCAAGCCACTTCCCCACTGAAGCTTTATCAAGAATTAAGTTCCCTGCGTCTCAATGACCTGCTTTTCAGCCGGGGATGGCTGTGCTACATTTGGCATGATGCTAATGTTCTGGTGTACACGAGAGAACTCGACGGTCTAGACAGAGTCTTTACCATAGTGCTGAATTTTGGAGAAACAGCGGAGGTGAATTTGCAGGATCTTTCTATAGGACTGCCAGCAAAAGCAAGCATAAAGCTGAGTACCACGTTCACTAACCGAGGTCAGACTGTGGCCATGGCTGCAGTGAGGACCGAGAAGGGGGAAGGACTCATTCTGGAGCACAGAATGCCCAAACTCCTACACCATCAAGAAGCCTTCAAAGACAAGTGTCTTGTTTCAAGCAAAGCATGTTATTCCAGCTTCTTAAACATCTTGTACAATTCTTGCTGAGATGCTGTCATTAGTCATTTTAACCTCAATTAAGCAGTCACTTCACCTTTGGCTTGATGGACTTTAGTAAACATAATGAAAACTGATTAATTAGAATTCTTCAGAATTTCTACAGCTTGAATTTAGGGGCTTTAAAAAAGTTGTCTAATACTCTTAAAATGCAGTAAATATAGAAAAGAAAATCATCCCTGAGAAGTTATTTATTGAAACAGTATTCACTGAGAAGTGAGGCAGTGTGGCCCATTGGATAGAGCTAGCCTTAGAGTTAAGAAGCCCCCCACCCCAGTCACTGGATGACCAAGCACAAGGCACAAGCCCTGAGGTCCTCAGCAAAATTGCATTGCAGTAGCTTCTTCATCAGGAGTTCTTATACCAATGAAATTAAAGGGCTTGTTAAGAGCATTTGTTTAGCACTTTAAGGTTAGCAAAAAGCTTTATAGATGTCATCTCATTTAATCCTCACAAAAACCCTGTGAGATAGGTGCTATTGTCCCCATTTTACAGATGAGGAAACTGAGGCTGAGAGGTTAAGCGACTTGCCTAGAGTCACACAGCTATTAGGTGATTGAGGCAGGCTTTGACTCTTGTCTTCCTGACCCCAAGTGCCATGCTTTCTTCACTGCCCCACCTAGATGTACCTCAAAAATCAATGACAGGCTCCACAGCCAGAGAAAGAACTATGGAGTCTCAATGCAGATGGAAACATAGTATTTGCTCTCCTTTTCTTTTGCTTTGTTTTATTGTTTCATTCTTGTGGTTCCTCCCATTAGTTCTAATTGTTCTTTACATCATGACTAATGGGAAAATATGCTTAACATGAATGTATATGTAGAGCCTATATCAGATTGTATGCCATCTTGGAGGGGGAAGAAGTGGGAAGAGGGGAAAATTTAAAACTCAAAATCTTATGGAAATGAATTTTGAAAACTAAAAATAAATAAATTGATAAAAATATTTTAAAAATCAATGAGAGATGATCAGGAAGTCTTAGTTTATTAATTTCAATGTGAAGAATTTTATCTTGTTTCAATCAGTTTAAGCACAGGAAAAAACCAAACAAACTTAAAAGCTTTCCTCTGTTCTCAGTTAGACTGCCTTTGTTACCTTCCCAAACTCTAAGAAAGGAAGATGGAGCTAAGCACAAAGAGATTTGAGGGAAGAAGTTTCAGGGCACCAGTGGATGGGAGGGTGAAGTGCTGGCCTAGGCAAAGACAAGGCTTTTGATGGGCGAGATAATTCTAAAGCACGTCACACTCTGCCATATTGAGCTCTGCCAGCCCCAATGTAGCATGAGCCTGTAACTTATTGCATTTCTGAGGCACTCAATGCCACTGCATGAGACATCATTCAGCATCCATCTTGTCTTAAAATGGGTATTAGTTGAGGGGACCAGTGTCATCAAGTCCAAGTTCTTTGTACAGAAAAGCAAGATGTTTGGCAACCTAAAACAAACAAAATTTAAACACATGAAACGCTCCAAAGTGATGCACCAGAGTTCAGGCTGTCTTATCCTACTGCTCTCTTCAAACAAGGGAGCTGACTTATGCCATGGACCACCACACATCAAAGTCGTGTCCCTCTGATGAACGCTTTCTATCACTGTGTATGGAAGGCGCTCTTTCTTACTGTTCTCATCCCTTCTACTGTTCTCATTCCATTTCTTTTTCTCCTTTTACATTCTCCTGTGATTTGCTTTAAGCCTATTAGTAGCCCTCAGGGTAAGAAACTGAGAAGGCCATCTCTAAAACAATTTGTCTTCATGGGATAGAAGATGGTCCTTATTTGCTGGGAATAATAACTGTGATTTTATTGGATGGGGAATTTGCAACATACCTCAATTATGGAGTCCTCCCAAAAAGCTGCAGCATGGCTTCCTCCAGTCTGAACATCTAAAATAATTTTAGGAATCTTTCTTCCTGAAAGTACATTTAAAATCAGTAAATAAGAAAAATCTTAACCAGAGGGGGAGCTTACTAACTTTTTAGTAGGAAAATGATAGAATAATTTCTCATCAGGTCTTGATATTATTCCCCGAGATGGTACAGAAGGACATGCAGGTTGTCTGTAAGGTTGGTGTATGTGAATACACTGACAGTCTTGCCACTGAGCCAAGGTGGACACTCTGTCCTTTCAAGCTCTGTGACTTCTAGCCACATCACATGCCCTGCTAGAAGCAGCTATGGAAAAGTGAATTGAGGACCTTGTTCAATTAGTTAGAGTTCCTGCTAGAAGAACTACTGTGAGTTCAGGCAGCTGCTAAGAAGTCTTCTAATATTCTTTGCGGGAAGGGCAGGAAACAGAATCCAGAAATCTTGAATCTAATTTCTACTTGCTTCTGGGCCTTGGTTTGCTACTGTATTTTTAAAAAAAATTATTCGATTCCTTTAATTTTTTTACATATCACTTCCCAATCTGTCACATCCTTTAGCCTTTCCCCCACAGAAAAACAGTCAAGCAAAATGATCAATGCAGCAACCATGTCTAACAATGTATGCAACACCCTACATCTGCAGTCACCCATTTCTCTAACAAGAGGTGCTATTTTTTCCTTAAATGCCTTCCAAGGTCAAGACTGGAAAATGTATTTAATCTGGAGTCCCCGTTGAGAGGTAGCATGGCATAAGGGACAGAACACTGGGCCTGGAATCAGGAAGACCTGAATTCAAATCCCACCAGTCAGCAAGTCATTCAACCTCTGTGTTCCTTAGACATCAATCTAGGATTTAATCTACTTAGGCTTATGACTTAAGTTACAGATCTGTATTGCTATAAGGAGTTATCATTACAGGAATTTCCCACAATGATAGAAGTACAGATCCTTGCATTCTTTGCTATTATTAAAAAAAACCTGTGGTTTAAGCAAATATGTCACTTACGGAACTATGTTCTAATATTGCCACTACTCACTTGAGAAGGTGACTTAGAGAGCTTTGAAATTATGGAAGAGGCAAGAAAACTGATTTTGGACAAAGGAAATCTGAGAAGACTTGAGAAACAGGAAGGAGCTGAAGAAGGAAGAAGGCTAGAAAGTGGGTGTTTCTGTCATCTGTTAATGAGGTGAGAAGAATTTGATGAACCCTCACCCAAGCAGTTTGCAATAGTGGTGCTATGAGGCGAGTCAAAATCAAGGAAGACAAGGACTGAATCTCTCATTTCCAGTAAATACAGAGGTTAGGAAGAATTGTGCAGTGGCCTGCATTCAATATGTGATATCTGCATTCTATCTTAGACATAAGACACTTATCTATGTTCATAGTGCAGGCTGATCTCCTACAAAAGGAGGTAAATAGGTACATTTTAACACAAAGAATGAAGCAGTCATTAAAAGACAAACAAATAAAAAGGCGTTTGAAGAAGCAGAGGAGAATCCTGACCTATCTATGGGGGCTACAAGTTCAATGAAGGACCACTTGGAACTTAGAAACAAATATAAGGGCTTCTCATGAAGAGGTGGAAGCTGCTTATTCTCCAAAAAACGATGTTTTTTCCATAGATGTTATCAGGTAAGAGGCCAATCAGGGAGGATAATAGGAAGAAGAGATGAGTAGTAGTGGTTGGTGACTCCTTGCCCTGGCTACTACGGTAGCTACCTGTTGACCTTATATCAACAAAAAGACCTGCTTTCTGCAAGGGGTGGACATGTATCCAAGACATGAAAGTATTTCCCAAGATTTCAAACTGGAAGACTACTATCCACTTCTGGTGATTCACGTGGGTCCAACTGATACTGCCAGAAGAAATCTAGAAAGCATTCCTAAAGATTATGAAGTCTTGGTCAACAAATGGAAGACTTTAGGGGCATAAGGGTCATGATTTAATCATTGCTACTTATCTAAAGTAAGGGACCGGAAAAGAGAGGCAGATTTGAGGTGTGAACAGCTGGTTAATAAACTGGTGTGGCAATGTGAATTTTTGATTTCTGGACCATGGCTTCAATTATGTAGGAATATATATGGCCTGACCTTGTGGCCAGAGATGGAATGTACCTAATGAGGGCTGGTGAGAATGCATGTGCCTGAATTCTTGCAAATCTAACCCAAAGGACTTGAAGCTGAAAACAGATAGACTGCCTATGTATATCCCACTAAACTTAAAGAATAGTAGTTACTACTACTGACATCCAGAAGTTTATAGGAGACAATTCCAGGACGAGGCAGAGGGTGGAAGCTTCATTGCCAGGGCATGAGGAAGTAGAGGCAACAGATGTAGATGATTTTTAAAAGAAGTTTAGCAGCCAAATCTCCTCAATCCCTCTTGAATTGAATGTGGATAATCCCATTCCATTTCTCTATAGGAGGCAGCATGATTTAGTGGGAATGGCACACGGACTTGAGAGCTGGAGAGGACTTTGGTAGGCATCTATCTGATCTAATCCCTGAATTTTACAGAGGAGGAAAGAGGCCTTAGAGAGGGCAAGTGACTTGCCTACAGCCATGTGGTTAATAAATGGAAAAACAAGGGTTTAGACCCAAGTCCTCTGACTCTGAATATCGTGGTACTTTCTTCAGTACTGTGGTGCCTCCCATAGTCAGTAGAGTTGAGAAATATTTATGAAGTGTTTACTAAGGGCCAGGCACTGTGCTGAGCACCAGGAATACAGATACAAAGAGAAAGAAATAAAGATGGCTCCTGCCTTCCAGAGAGCTTGCATTCTAATGGAGGAAGACAACACATAAAAGGAAATGGAAAATCTGGGTAAGATATAGAGGTTCCTGGGATACGGCAAAGTCTGAAGAGTCAAGGGGAGAGTGTGTCTGCCTGCCACATTTCTTTCGCTCATAGTTACCAGAATGCGTCACTCCCTTATTAATAAACTCCAGTGCCTCCTTTTCACCTTTAGGATCAAATACAAAATCATCTGCTGTCATCCAAACCCCTTCATCACTTAGCACTTTTTGAGCACCTTTTGAGTTTTCTTACACCTTACTCCCCACCGTGTGGTGACACTGGCTTCCTCTGCTGTTCCATGAACAAGACACTCTATATCTCTGCCCCCAGCATTTTCTCGGGACTGGAATGCCCCTTCCTCCTGTCTGCCTTCTGGCTTCCTTTAAGTCCCAACTAAAATCTCACATTCTGTGGGAAGCCTTTCCCAACCCATCTTAATTCTAGCGCCTCCCCTATTATTTCCTACTAGTCTTCAAAGGCAGGGACTGTCTTTTGCCCCTACTTGTATTTCCAGCACTTAGCACACTGCCTGGCACACAGCAGACACCTAATAATTGCTTACTGATTGACTGAGGTGAGAGGCAGATGGGACAGAGCAACTTGTAAGAAAGAGATTGAAGATGTCTGAGATTGATGACTGCTGCAGCAAAAACAGAAAGAATTTAGTTAGCCTAATGAGTAGGAAGGATACTTTTCTACATAATCAGAGGGAAGGAGAAGAGACAGTGATGTTGCCAAGAGGGTATGAACAATATAAGACAGGGGATCAGAAGGTGGATAGTTACGCTAATGGCCAACGTCCTATGCCAGCAGCTTTACTTCTGATGTGAAGATGGATACTGCTGAAGCTGTATACCTGTCATCTTCTCCTGCTCTCATACTGGGAGAGTTCAGCATATATACTCATCATAGTGGTGCTCAATCAAATACCCTAACTTCCTCGTTCTCTATCCAGTACCCATGACCTACTCTTTCATCTGACCTCACACTCACCTCCCAGGGCTACTGTGAGGATCAAGCAAGATGACATTTGTAATGTGCTTAGCACCAGTACCTGGCACATGGGAGGTGCTTAATCAGTACTTTTTCCCTTTCTCTTCCATCTGGTTTGTTCCAAATCTTCTCATCTTTCCTCAACCTTCTCACATAACCTCCTCCTTCCCTCCTATCCCCTGTAAACGCTTGACTCACACTTCACTGAGGCCATTTGCCCTGAGCTCCTCCTTCTCTACTCCTCTTCATCTCACATAATTCAGATATACTACCCCACCATCTTTTTCACTCTTGTCTCACACGAAGTGGCCCCTCTCCTGTCAAGGCCAACTCCTCTTTATGTGCTCTTTATTCCAGCCCCTCCCAAATTCTTCAGCAAGTTATCTCTACCACCCCCACTTTCTTTCTTATCTTTGATCTCCCCCTATTTACTGATGCCTTACCTGATGGATACAAATATGCCCATCCTTTAAAAAAAACCAAAACCCAACAACAACCGCCTAACTTAACCCTCTCCTCCTCATTACCATCATACAGCTCTCCTCTTTGTGGCTAAATTCCTTGAGAAAGCTGTTTATAATCTGCTGCCATTCCTCCTCTGTCTTCTAAACTCTGCAATCTGGCTCCTGACCCAACATTTGTCTTAAATGCTCTGCCCCAAGTTACCAGTGATCTCTAAATCTAAGCCAATGTTAAAATCGAATGGCCTTTTCTCAATCCTCATCCTTAGTGACCTGGAAGCAGCATTTGACACTGTGATTGCCTTTTCTTCCTGGATACTCTCTCTTCCAGGTTTTGGGACACTGGTCTCTCGTATTTACTCAATTGCTCCTTCTTAGTCTCTCCCTTTGCTGGTTCTTCACGTCATGCCCTCTAAGGGCTTGTCTCCCAAGGCTCTGTCCTGAACTCTCTTCTCTTTTTATTCTGTGCTATTTCACTTGGTGATCTCATTAGCTTTCATCTATACAGACGGTTCCCAGATCTATATTCAGCCCTAGTCTCTCTTCTGAGCTTCAATTCTGTATTACTACCTACTGCCTATTAGATATGGTGAACTGGATGTCAGTTCATAAGCATCTCATATTCAACATGTGTAATAAAACTCAATCTTCTTTCCAAAACTCACCCCAGTTTTCCTTTGACCTCTGAAATCTTTTTAAACTTCACTCCCCTCCACACACTGTATAAACCTATATATGTAAATCATATATATATATATATATATGTATGTATATGTATATAGCTCTATGGGCCTAAATGCTGTTCCTTGAACACAACACTGTCTTAGGAGTCTCCAAGCCTTTTTCCTGGCTACCCCTCATGCCTGTAATGCTCTGCTCCGTATCTGACACATTTCGGTTTTCCTTTGTTCAAGACCCAGCTCAAATCGCACCTTCTGACGGAGGCCTTCCCCAGTATTCCTTCTGAGATCACATTCCACCTACTCTGCAGGCAGCCAGTTATTTACAGGCGGCCTCCCTGCCTGGAACACGAGCTTCTTGAGGGCAGGGGCACAGCACTTGGCACATACTAAGTGATTAGTAAATGCTTGCTGACGTCATCAACTCCTTTGGGAGACTATTGCAATGTAGTTATGATATGGGGCAGTGAGGTGGCGCAGTGGATAGAGCACTGGCCCTGGAGTCAGGAAGACCTGAGTTCAAATGCAGTCTGAGACCAGGCACTTGTCATTAGCTGTGTGACCCTGGGCAAGTCACTTAACCCCAACTGCCTCACCAAAAAAAAAAAAAAGTTGTAGGTATCTGGTTTAACACTTTCTATTACTGTCCTCTGCCCAGGACATATGGTAAACATTTGATAAATAATTGCTGACTTCCAGCTGGCTGGCGAGGTGCACCCAGTCCCTCGACCAATTTGCTCCCCTGGTTGTTTCTTATCCTCGAGCTCTTCTGCCAATGGAACCAAATGCTATTTTCAGTTATTTTCCTCTGTTACCATTACGTTTATGGTCTTGTTGCTGTTCTTTTCATGGCTACTACAGGGTTCCTCTGTGGCTAAAAGGGCCAAGTGGGGAGGCCTGTTTTGTGGTATCAACACCTTATCCCTAGAGAGCAGACACCTACTGCCAGGCTCTCAAGATTCTCTTCTCTTCTTCTTTCAAATTCAGAAGAAGAAGAAAGGCACAAGGCTGAGGGAAATTAGGAACAGGGAATAAAAGCTTTGCCATAGGCTGTTGTTTACCAGTTAAGAAAACCAGACACGATGTTCTTGTTTCAGCAGTTCCTGACATCTCACAGCTGCCCACCCACAGTTTAAAACAGATTATTTAATGAAAGAATTGGCCCTGTTTTCTCACAGCAATCAGGTAACTCAACACCTAGGGCTTCTGCTAGTCAGACCAACCTGCCCCAAATGGCGGCATCTTTGATTCTGGTGTGTTTTAGTAAATTAGAAACCCACAGCTGAATGTTCCTATGTACTGATGTGCTTCTTTAAGGAAGGGGCCTTGGTTAATAAATCTTTGCCACAGATGTCACACACCGGCTGTAATTAAACCCTGGAGAGAAAGAGAAGGTGTTGGATTTTTATAGTAGTGCCAGGGCCTAGAGAAAGAGGGAGTGTATTTTTTCTTACCACAAGACAGTCAAAAATGCCATAGATAACTAATTATTGGTAATATTTTTAGAAAATTGGCAAAGCTTATTTCTCAAATTTTTTTTTAATGGAGTCAATTTTTACACATTTTTATGACCTCAACTTGAAGTTGACTATTTATGTTGTTCATCAGTCATAGTGATTTAAGGGTGCTATTTTGAGGACGTTAGGCACAGAACACATTAGAAAGACCACAAAATTAAGACTAGTTAAAAGTATTATTTTTGTGTATAATACCATTTAGATATTCTGAAACATTTGTCCCTAAGCAAAGCTTTCTTTGCTCTCCACAACACAGCAGGGAGAAAATATCTAATAGCCCATACATGTATGTGACGGATACTGAGGGTAATGCTAACAGATTCTTCAACCCCATACAGGAAAGTGCTTATACGAAGTTTAACTGAATACTAAGTACAAGAAAAAATTATTTTTCCTAAATCATGGGGATACAAATATTAAAAACCGTTATGTAATTACAAGTATTACTATAAGCAGCATGATTTGAGTTGGGTTGTGGGCATACTTAATCAATCAAGTTTTTAGGCATTTTCATACCATGATCTCTGTTGTGTTTTTGATCCATGATAACTCTTCTGAGTCTCTGAGTATATTTTAATATTCCTTTTAGAGGTACACGTTGATCATTTTCATAAGCTGTGATTATAATTGAAGGATAAGTCTGAAAGAAGACAGATTTACAAAGCAAATTAGTTTTTTGTTTGCTTTGCCTTTTTACAACTCATTATTAAATTACTAAAAATAATTATTGAGTACCTTTATTGTAAGGAAGAAAAAATGCTTCACATTAATTATTGCTATTCAAGATCTGTATGAGATTTACAGAGATGTGTCAGTCGCCTTTACTTAATCAAGCTGTGACATCCATAAATATTAAAATGCAGCCAAGCAGAAATGTAAGAAGGGAAAGGGGAGGGGGAAGGGAATAAGCATGCGTTCCTAGCTATCTCTATCTCCACACTTACTATATATATGCCAGCCACTGTCCTATGTGCTTTACAAATATTATCTCATTTGGTCTTCACACAATCCTGCAAGATGGGTGCTGTTACTTTCCCCATTTTATAATCAAAGAAACTGAGGTGAACAAAGGTTAAGAGACTTGCCCAGAATCACACAGCTAGTAAGTGTCTTGAGCCTGCATCTGAACTCAGGTCTTCTTGACTCCAGGGCCAGCACTCCGTCTTCTTTGCCACTAAACTGCATAAACATACTTGCTGACTAGTTTCTATGTTATTTAAATGTGACATACTTGCTGACTACCTTTTTATATTACTTCCATGAGGCAGAGTAACACGACTGGCTTTTATTACCTGGGGTCTGATGTTCTGGTAGGGACAGTAACTTTTTATGTAGTCCATGTATTTGTCATCAGATGAAGGGTCTCCCCACTCTTCGAGTTCTTCACTGGTCAGAGGAAGCTGTATGTCCAGCATGGTAGTGAGAATGTCCAGAAAAGGTGCCTAAACACAAGCAGCATATCATGGATTTGACTGAGGAGACGGCAGAATGAGCTAGAACAATTATGATGTGCCTTGCCCGTGATGGTGAGTGGGAAGAAAAGGGCACGGTGCCTGGAAGCCATGAGCCCTGGGGTGTGAGTGTCGGGAGGGGTGGGGTGTGTGCCTGCCAACAAATGTGGAGATGGAATAATTTACACAGTTCCACCTTTCCAGTGGTTTCTAATAAATACAAAGTACTGAGGAAGCTGCCTGGCAGCCACGTCCCTTTTCTCTGGCGCCTGGGCACCTCAGTGCCTCTCCCATGGCTGCTGCCATGCCTTACACGCCCACTCCTCTACAAGAAATCAGGCTTGGATGGCTTTCGTCCTGGACACTGGGAGGCTTTCTTTCCCTGTGGAGATTTTCTGGATGATTGAAAAGAGAAGCTCTAACTGAAAAAAATTCTGAGATGATGAACCCAGAGAGTGGCACTGAGGCTAGTCTTGCTGGGAGCACCACTTGTAAAGCTGTACAAGACTGGAACTGTGAAGACTGGCCCAGAAGAGGCATCATTTCTTATTCGGGTCAGGTGAGTGGGGCTGGTGAACAGCCTGCTACAGCTCAAGGAGTCGTGATCAAGAACGAGATCAAGATCGGAGGATGACGATGACAGTGAGGAAATACAGCCGGCTGGGAGTCACAGGTTCTTTACAGACTCATTTTAATTTATCAGAGATAAATGAAGTTATCAAAAAATATATGTTTTCAGGGCCATTAAAATAATATATTGTATAGTGTATCATCTATGTCCTTACCTATTGTAAAGTCTATACACTGATAGTCAATACATTTGTATTGCTATATATAAGTCCATTTTATGGAATCATACATTTAACAAAAAAGAGTATAAAATCAATCAGGCTTGAATTGTTTGGTTTAAATCTGAACCTTTACTGAGTAAAGGGAGTCTTGATAAAACAAAAGACTCAGACAGGTTTTTACGGAAAAAAGTTATGAAGTTTTAGAAACAAAGCAATTAGTAAATGGTTAAGACCTTTTAAATTATTTTAAAAATTCTCCATTAGTATTTATTTAGTTCTATAGCAGGTTTACAGTGAAGAGGTCAACATCTATGAGCAAGTTTGTCTGAAGGTTATGCTGAATATAAGAAAATGTGAATTAATAATGCAGAATTTGGGAATATTATAAATACATATTGTAAAACTAAAGTAGTTCAGGCATAAACTATTCAAAATGTAAATAAACTGAGAGTCTTATAAAATAAAATGAAGAGTGACTTGAATTCATTCATGTTGTCCAAAGACCAATCTAATTCTGAAAAGAATTCATACACTTTTTCCACGCAAAAGTCACTATCTGACATTTCTATGTTCCTAAAAGCAGTCATTCTGAAGGCTAGAGAATAAATGAGGTGATACCAGCTGCTGTTTCTATCAGCAAGCACAGATGGACAATAGGAACAATTTAATTCAGACAATGACTTAAGGTCTTCTGTTTGGTACAGAGCTACAAAGATGCCTGAATCCAAGGAACTTACAACTCAAGAAGAGGAAGAGAAAAACTCAAGGACAGAACATCTTCATGAAGGGAAAGAGGAGCCACCCCTCTCTTCATAGAGGCTAAAGGCATCATAAGTGCCTCCACTGACGACCCAAGCCCAGGTAACAGGGCAACAAAATGGCTAAGTGGAACTGAAAGGCTGACCAGGAAGGTCCACTGTGGAGCACACTGACTTTTCACTCTCCAGTACCACTTCTGACCCAGCAAAACTAAACGAAAATAGTAATATACGTTCTGCACTGGAGGCCTTTAAAAAGGGGGCAGAGTGTTGGCCTAAATGACTATTTGTTGATAATTTCCTAATCTATAATTCTTAGAATCAAACCTTTTAAAAGGAAAAAAAATTATTAACTATTGCATCCTATTCCTGCTGTATGTTAGGTTTTCAACTATTTTGATTCTCTGAGTATTTCTATTTCTTAGAGTAACCAATTTCTCTTTTCTTCTAGTTCAAACATTCTATCACTCTAGGACTCAGAGCTGACTTACCTGTAAAACCACAGCCCTAATAAGTCTGGGGTTGGTATTGCACAATGCTCCTGCCAGCACACCTCCAGCACTATAAGCTGTAAGTGCTGTAGACGCGGGTTCGGAAAATCCCAGGTTGTGAAGAAACTTTATACAAGCCTCTAAGTCAGCAAGGCCATTGAGTTTATTGTTCAGACAGCCGCTAGCATGCCAACTGAGGCCTAATTCACCTCCACCTCTGAAACAAGGGAAAAAATACATGAGGAATATGCTGTAGATGATACTACTTTAAAAACATGCATTCTTGTGGATACTTGGCAAATCCAAGTGGAATTAATACAGAATTGAGACATAACATATCTATGTATTCAGAAGTGGGAATTGTATAAAGGTAGAAAGGGCAAAAGTGCGAACCAAAGGCCAGTTCACTTTCTAAAATAGGGTTGTCTGAGAAATGGAGAGTATCATATGAAAACCAAAGCTTGAAAGGACTTGAATGGAATCAATCATTCAGTAGGCAACCAGATATGGAAACTTGAGCGTTTCAGATCAACTTTGTTACTCAGTCAGGTCGATAGATAGCACAGATTTAGTAAAGTATGTGATAAGAGAAGAATTCATAGATTCAGCAATATAAGTAGAAAACTGGAACTTTAAAGTGATATCTAAATTGTAGTTATCAGTTTCAATATAATTCTGGACTCTGTCCCTACGCTTTATACTTCAAATGAAATAAAATTATGTGCTGACTTACCTAACATGACAATATGCTAATATCCATCCATCTTCAATTAACATTTGATTCTCAGCTTTGAAATTCATATTTAAATCTATCCCATAAGCTCCATATACATGAATAAGAAGAGGTTTCTTCTGTATGATCTCAGAATTTCTTTTATAAAATATTGTCACTGGTACTAAAGTTCCATCCTGGAAATGAAAGAATGTTTTCAACATAAACAATTACTCTTATAAAAAAAATACTGATTTTTCTTTAAAAAAGATTTTTTTTGTTTTAAATTTGGTTTCATTTGACATACATTTCTTCTTTTAGAGAGTAATTTTCTCTGACAGGGAGCCTCACATTATTTCCTGACTTCATTTAGGATAGATGGATTTCCAAAAGTGTAACAGAATCCCTGTTGTCTGAGATTTTCCTCTAGTAATATCACCAAATATGTATTAAAGAAAAATGAAAATATTACTTAATGGCTTAAATACACTTTATTGTTCAATATTGCTACAATTCATCAAAAACTTTTCTTTTAAATCCCTGTCCTAGGTTATGCCAATATTATTTACAAACTGATAAACTGCCAGCCCAGTATTTTACTTATAATGCCAATGCTGGATACTATTGTTTCTCATCTTTTATTTTTATGAGACTAGTACCAACGTATAAAAAAAAAAGTAAGCAGAAAAAGCTAGACAGTTCCTTTTATGTCATTGTAACTGTGATTACTAATCATTTTGGAACCAGGACATATTACTGTTTGATTTAATGTTACCTACTTTTATATTCTTTTTTGGTTTTGTTTTTAGGCAATTGGGGTTAAGTGACTTGCCCAAGGTCACACAGCTAGTAAGTGTCAAGTGTTTGGTCTGAGGCCAGATTTGAACTCAGGTCCTCCTGACTTCAGGGCCGGTGCTCTATCCACTGCGCCATCTAGCTGCCCCCTACTTTTATATTCTTAAAAGGAGTATGACTTTATTTTTTCCCCTAATACTCTCACTTATTGCAAACATCTAAGATCAGTGAAGTTACCATAGGAGTTTTGTAAAACCAGGGCTCTAAATCGCTATTTTACATTTGGTTTAGGTCATTCTAGCTCTTTCTGAAAGTCCAACAGATACAATCCTCACTTTGCAGAACATAGTATATATTTTAGCAAAAACAAGCTGCTAAGTGAATTTCTATAACAACACCTTTGGCTGCTCTCTCTTCCCATCCCCTTTTCTATCCAAAGAAGCATTTCTATGAGAAATTCCTTATGGCAAGGAAGGTGGTGTAGAGCCTATGTAGGCTGGTCATCATGGCACACTAAAAATATGTATGTGATGGGAATTAGAATAGTGCCCAACAAACAGATCCCTTACTCCTTCCCTTACTGCAAGGGGAAATCTTTTGACCTAACATCTATGGTTTCTAGAACTTTCTTTTTTTCCTTCTCACTGTAAACAGATATGCTGAGTGCAGTAGATCTGGGCCATCAATCTAATACACAAGATATTACAGCTTGAACATTCCTTAAATTCAAGGTGTCAGGTTATACATGATAGACTAGATCTCTTATTTTTATCATTTTGACAAACCAATCAAAACTGTGAATACTGAGTTTACTTGGAAGAGTGATATCTATCATTATTTTTCTCTTTGCTATTGCCATTTTAAAAGAGAAGGTATAAAAACTTACCTTGCTTTTTGCTTCTAAACGTGCCATGTGACAATCTGTCACAATGGGTTCCTCTTGCTCAGCTTGCTCATAGAGACTGCCTTTTCCTAACATATACAAAAAACGCCTTGGAGGATGCACGGGAGAGGAGAGCTGAAAAGAGCACGCATCACTGCCGCTGTCCTGTGGCTGGGGGTCCAGCTGGCACGCACAGGCCCACGTGGGGAGCTGAAGAGATCAGATGTGCATTTTATTCCTTCCCTTGGCTCCTCAGAATTCTTAACTCCACTTCTGGGCTTAGCTTTAGGTATGAAACCAAGTTTTATTCAATTCAGATTCCGCTGAATTGCCCATAAAATCCGTAGTTTGAAGTAGCAAAACTATTTCAAATAACTGAAATGACTATGACTAGATGACATAATAACTACGTGACCACTGAAAATGGGGAAAAAAGTGATTTTTGAGGATCTTAAACATTATGAAAAGGAAAAGAGTAATAGAAGGAGAAGAGATTATGTTCCAAGGACTCAGGTTCAAATGCTAGCACTGCTCCTTCATACTAATACCTGTCTGATCTTGGGCAAGTTAGTTAAACTCTTTGGACTGTTTCCTTACTTGAAAAATGAGTGGTTTTGTTTACACGATCTCCAGGGTACCTAATATTTCTAAGGCGGCACTCAAAGATCTATGAAAATACAACTCCAACACTATGGTTTATCATGATCTAGGTACAATCTCCTGTACTGAAATGCTGATTTGGGGACATGAATAAGGGTTATACATTTTTTTTAATGGTTAAAATGCTCACAGGCCTAAAGGCCCATTCATGTCCTCCTCACTTTTCGTGTTTCTGATCTGCTCCCAAGCCTGTGTCCTGTTTCCTGAACAGCCTGGACCGAAGCCACAGCAATGGCTGTTATTACTCTAGGGCTAAGTTGGCCCAGCAGTGCTCAGACGTTTAAAATCCCTGCTTCTCACTTTGGCCCCCAGGCTAACCATTGTAGAGAACAAAACCCTTTCTTGGCACATCCTTCCTCAAACTCATGGCTATTATGCTTAAAATTCTTAACTCAATGAAAAGTGAAAGGAATCAAGATTCATTCTCTGAGAGCAGCAGGGTCCAGCTTCAAGCCTTCTCCCAGCACTCCCTTTACATCCTTTAAGAGCTCTGGTTAGCAGGTGGACAGAAGCTTCAGAAATGGCATTGAGAGTGAAAGTGTTAAAAAGAAAACTGAATTCCCTTTCCTGTATAATTGTGAAAAGTGCAAATTCCTTAGAAAATCAGCAGTCTGGCACAGCCCCATCCCTGATGGTGGGCTCCCCTCACAGAGGACAGCTGGGGATGTGTGACGAGTGCACCATTAGTCAGCTGTAGGAATGGGCAAACAGACTTGGCTGACTGACTCGGAGGGAAGGAGTGATGGACAAACGCCTTCCACCACTATTCCAAATGCAGGCTCCTCTGTCCACCACACAAACTCTTTGGTACTACTGATGAGATGTTTAAAAAAAACACATTAAAGTGCTCACGTGGTGGTCTTCCTTTCTGGGCTTTTTGGTTATAATCTAGTAGTCCCAACAGGTATGAATTTTGTAATGTTACTGAGACTAAGTCTGAAAGTTTATTTTCCATAGGACACAGGGGACACTAGGTAAGAAAACGAAATTCTTCCATGGTCAAGGACTATGCTTTTCTGAGTCCAGTCAGCTGTTTCAAGTGTAAGAGTCATGGGTTAAAAGGGAAAGAGCTGGGAGTGTATATAAATGGGCACAATTTATCCCCTCAAATGAAAATGTGACTCAGAGCACACCACACTGGGACAAACTGGTATCATCCTAGACAGGAAGTTTCTAACAGTAATAAATAATAGTCATAGCTCAGAACCAAGAAGCAACCATGGATTAACGAAAGTTAACAGGTGTTAACATATTCTCTATTCTTGTTAACTGATTTTAAAACAATGGTTTGATTTTGCAAAAATCTCCAAAAAAAACTAAGGTGAGCACCAATCTAAAATTATCTCAACATGTCATTTAGTGCTCAACATTCACAAGAGACAATCATTAAAACTAGAGCTAAATCCTATTGATGTTTTCCCTTTAACAAATGGAACAGAAAAGAAACTGAACATATTATCTTGTTGCCTCTTTGTGTGAGAAAAATGCCAGGAAACAATGAAAGAGTGAGCACTGAGGGCAGGAAATTTATTAAGAGGAACACAGGACTTTGTTAAATGGTATCTTGTGCCATTATAGCAGCATTTCCTTCAGTGAGGCTGAATTTAAAACAGTCTTTCTCCTCAGCCATAAATGTTTGAATCCTCACTAAGCAGGAATGCCATGCTTGATATAAAGGTCTTACATCAAAATTCAGTTTGGCATAACGATCTGTTCTGATCTGCTGCTTGCTGTAGCTGTGAATAACTGTGAATAAGCACCCAGAGGGCAGGGATAAGGACTTCAAAATACCCTTTTATGGTCCCAAATGTGGCCACATGTGTCAATAAATATTTAATCATAATTATGATTCAGGGTTCTATAAAGGCACTGGAGGATGTAGATATCATAAAAGAAATTAAAGACATGTCCCCAGCTTTCATGAAGCTTAAACACTGGAGAGATGCTACATATAAACAGAGAAGAAAATCAGGAATACTTTCAAAAAACAATATAAGAGCAAATTAGTATAGAGGTCAAATACCATTAAAGTACCACAAACTCCAGTTACCTGAATCTGGTGCAAATCATTGTGGAGGAAAAAAAGGAAAACAACTGAGAAGTAAATTTTGAAAGTAGTAACAGAAAACAAGAAACAGCTAATGGAAATTGCCATGAACATGCCAAGGATTCATGCAGACATTTCATATTCTTTCTCCTTTAAGTTCCTATATATACTGTATACATGATTTGTAGTCACAGGGCTGGCAAGTGTCTCAGAGATCATATAATCCAACCTCTACCCCCATTTTACAGATGAATAAACTGATGCTCAGAGATAGTGACTTCTTCAAGGTCACAAAGCTGTCAACTGGAAAAGAAATAGAATTATACTGGTTTCACAATAATATAATATTATAGCGAAGCCCTGATGCTTCTGTAAATAAGCCACCATTACAGATCTATATCGCACCAGGTTCTTCTAGGAGAAAAAATTTATTACATGGCTTCAATATATCACAATATAAATGATGCCAATACATTAATCTTATGTTTAAAATATTTTATATTTCATATTCTGTTCAGATTAACCAACTGTGTATTTTGATTAGCTTTTAACTATTAAAAATGAAACATACCTTGAGAGACTGAACTGAATGATCATTTAAGGAAATTGTATTGAGATAAAGTTGATTGCAGTATTTCAGAAACATAACACAGTGATCCTTGAACATCACCATGTCAATAAGCTTGGTTTTTCTCTTCAACGCATAAATAAGTCGCCAATTCTTCATACTACAGGAATTGACTGATGTCTTCATTAGCTATATAGAAGCAAATTGACAGAAGAGAGCCAGAAAAATAGCAAGAAATCCAAACAGCAAAGTATCGAGGTAAAGGTGGCATCTGTGACCAAAGCCTAGACACCTTTCACTGTTTCCTGAGTAGTGCTTCTTAGCATCATATGAAAGGAAGAACCAGACATTCATTGAAGTTTTAGTGTCTCCATCTCATCTTTTATAAGAAACTACAATAGCAGATCATTGATTTGGAAGGAGAAGGGATCATGGAGGATAATTAGCATAAAACTTTCACTTTTACGAATGAGCAAATGGAGGCCCAGAAAGGTTGAATGACTTGAGGTTGAGATCACATCACAAGCAAACGTCTGAGGCAGGATCTGGTGTGTGGATACTCAAAAAGTAGGAGGCGGCAAGGTTATGAAGAGCTTTGAATGCCAAAGAGACGATTTTGTACTTGTCCACTGGGATTTACTGAGTAGGAGGGTGACATGGTTATACCTGCCCTTCAGGAAAATCACTTTGTTGGCTGGATGGAGGATGCACTAGAGTGAAGAGAGACTTGTAGCGAGACCAGGTAGCAGGCTACTGCAACAATGAAGGTGTAAGGTGGTGAGGACCTGCACTGGAAGGGCAGCAGTGTCAGAGGAGGGGAAGAATATCTGAGAAATTGTTGCAAAGGTAAAACCAATAGGTTTTGGCAACAGATTGGATATGGGGGGTGAGACCGAGTGAGCAGTCAAGGATGATTCCTAGGCTGTGAACTTGAGGACTGGGAGGATGGTGTTGCCCTCTATAGTAACAGGGAAGTTAGGAGGCAGGGGAGGTTTGAGCAGCAAAGATAATGAGTTTAGTTTTGGGCATGATGAATTTCAGATGTCTTCTGGCCATCCAGTTTAAGATGCCTAAGAGGCAGTTGGGGATGGAGATGTGAGGTTAGCAGAGATACAGGAGCAGGAAAGGTAGATTTGAGAAACATCAGCATAAAGATTAGATAATTAAATCCATGGGAACTGGTGAGATCACCAAGTGAAACAGTACAGAGGGAAAACAGATGACTCAGGATAGAACCCTATGGGACAGCTATGATTACAGGATGTGCTCTAAATGAAGATGCAGCAAAAGAGACTGAGAAAGAATGGTCGGATAGGTAGGAGACCCAGGAGAGAGTGTTGTCTCAAAAACATAGAGAGAAGAGACCATGAAGGAGAAAAGGGTGATTAATGGTGCCAGAGGCTTAAAGGAAGTCAAAGATAATGAGGACTGAAAAAAGGTTATTGGATTTGGCAATTAAGAGATCACTGGTAACTTCGGAGAAGGCAATTTTTGCGGGGGATGATGAGGTTAGATGTTGGACTCTAAGGGGTTTAGAAGAGAGTGAGAAGAGAGAAAATGGAGGTACCTATTGCAGATGGCCTTTTTAAGGCATTTAGTCACAAAAGGCAGGAGAGATATAGTATCACGGTCAACAGGGATGGAAGGATCAAGGGAGAGGTTTCTGAGAATGGGGGAGACATGGAGGCAGCAGGGAAGGGGCCAACAGACAGGGAGAGCTTGAAGACAAGTGATATCACTCTGACATCCCCAACAGTGAAGGTGACAGAGGAGGCAATCTGTTAGAAGAGATGGGAAGGAATGGGATTGCTTGTGCAGATAGAGGGCTTAGTCTTGGAAAGGAGTAAGTCTTCAGGTGAGATGGGTGAAGGAGGACAGACTGGCAGAAGGCATCTGAGTAACAGATGAGGAAGAGGGGAGAAGAGAGAGCCTTACTTTTTTCTGTAAAATATGAGGCCAGGTTTTAAGTTGAGAGGGTTGGGGGTGGGAGGCCATGGGAGGCTTGAGAAGAAATGAAAAGGTATGCGAGAGCCACTGTGGAGAGTGGGACAGTGAGTTGATAAGGGAGGTAGAGCTCAGTCGAGGTTATGTAACATAAATCCCAAGGTTTTTTCCATCTTTGTTCAGTAGTGCATGTGTAGGAGCAAAGGCAGGGGATGGCAGGAATAATGTAAGGCCAGGGCTTGGCAGGGCACAATCAATGCATACAACAAGGGAGCAACTCAAGAGAAGAGTCACAAAGATAACTAGAAGAACTCAAAGGTCGTGTTTATGCTAGTCAGCCAATTAAGCACTTACCCTGTGTCAGATACTGTGCTAAGTGCAGGGTTTACAAAGAAAGGCAAATACAGTCTCTGCCCCTGAGGATCTCCCAAGCTAACGGGGGAGACAACATGAAACACACATTGGAAGCAATAGGGAGCTACTGAAGTTAAGTGAATAGGGGGGTAGGGGTAGTGGACACAGTTAGATCTACATTTTAGGAAAATCAGTTTGACAACTTAGTAAAGAATGGACTGTAGGGGTGGCTAGGTGGTGCAGTGGATAGAGCACTGACCCTGGATCTCAGGAGGACCTGAGTGGAAATCTAGACTCAGACACTTACTAGCTATGTGACTCTGGGCAACTCACTTAACCCAGATTGCCTTAAAAAAAAAAAAAAGGACTGTAGTGGGAAGAGACTTGAGACAGGGAGACCAAACAACAGACTGCTGCAATAGTCCAGGTGTGAGGTGATGAGGGCCTACAGGGGAGTGCTTGCCATGTCAGGGTGGGGAGAAGGGGTCATAGAAGAGAGATGTTACAAAAGTAGAAACAGCAGGATTGGATATGGGGTATGAGAGAGTCAGAGAGAGAGGAGTTGAAGTTTCTAGCCTACATGACTAGAGGGATGGAGGCACCCTCAACAGTAACAGGAAAGTTAGGAAGAAGTGAGGGGAAAATATGTATATGTATGTTTAGTACTTCATGATGTATTTTTCTGAAATTTTCAAAAAAGAACATTAGACATCAAAGCTGAAGATCTAGTTTAAAGCATTCGAGGAGTGCTCAGTACATAAAGTGCTTAAGACAGGGGTCGGGGGAGAGAGATATTACCTTATATTCTGCAGGCTCTCCATCATTTGTGAGAATATATAACTCACGGTTTCTGTGCTCAATATGGTACATCACCCCAGGACTTCTCTTTTGGACAAGGACTGGTGGATCCCAAGGCTGGTGACAATCCACCAACCACACTTCAGAAGTGGTCTTGCTATTACTATTTATGGTGAGGAACGACTTGTCTCGTGTACAATGCAGGTCCACAAAAAATCTGAAAAGGAAAAGTGTAATATAAAAATTAAAAGAATTTCAGATATAGAATATTTTGTTCATGGGATGTACTTAGTAAGTATTCAATATTAAATGTTCATTTATAATGAAAATGAAAAATAAAAATACTCCACTGATGAATACTAAGAAATCAAGAGTCAGCCACTGTTAACTATTTTTTTAAAAAATCATTTTACATATTACTAAATCACAGGACTACTTGCTGAGAAGAGAAAAAAGCTCCTCAGTGAAGGCAGAAAGATTTTATTAAAAAAAGAAGAGAGATCAGGAATTACTCTTATTCAATATCTCATTAGTATCAGTCAATCCTAAAAGAAGTAGGGGGAAAAAAAACCACGACATGAATTGCTTGAAAACAATAGGAAAGTAGTTTTTAGTTCCCTGAGGAAACTGTTAACTTAAAAGCCAAAAAGTATGAATTTCAATGAGAAAACCAGACACTTGTTTCATTAATATCTAAGCCCAGATTTTTGTGTATTTTCATTTACTCAAGTGGTATTCAGAAAAGACCAACATGTTATACCATTTGTGCTCATGTTTAAAACATTGTCCAGTTCTGCAGTGTGACCATCATACCATTTTCTACGACCAAAGTACGGAACAACAATTTGGGATCGCACTCTGCTTGAGGTGAAATTCAACAAAAATACACTTTGCATTAGTAAATGAAGCAAAAACCCTTAGAAAGAGAGGGAGAAAAAGAAAAAGAAACAAAACAAGAAGGAGTGAAAGGAAGAAAGAGGGAGGGAGACAGGGCAAGTCACTTAACCCCAATTGCCAAAAAAAAAAAATGATGTGCCATAAAGCAGGGGTGGGGGGGGTATATTCCAGGCAAGGGCAATGGTCACTGAAGATGTGTGGGAGAAGTCTGGCTGGATTGCAAAATGCCAGAGGAAGAGGATGGGAAGAAATGTTAGAACCAAATTAGGAAGGTCTTTAAAAGGGGTGAAGAGAAGACTTTATTTTTGATCCTAGAGGCAACAGGGAGCCACTGGAATTTGTTGAGCATGGTGATATGGTCACATCTCTGCTTAAGAAAAATCACTTTGGCAGCAGTGTAGACAAAGGACTAGAATAGTGACAGACTTGTAACTGGGAGATGAAGTAGGTGGCCGTTGTAATAACCTAGGCAAGAGATATTGATGGTCTGAACCAAGTTGCTGGCTATGCGAGTAGAAGGGGTCGGATGCATGATTTGTCACGGAAGTAGAATCAGCAAGATTTGGCCTCATCATAGCTCATCTCCTGATTGCCAGTGAGTGATAACTTCATCTTAACTACATAAAGGGACCTTCTGGGCCTGCTCTTGGCAGGGTACACTGCCTCCAGCTGGGTGAGCTGTTCCACAGCCAGGTACTATTATCAGTGGGGGTGGGAGGAAGGAAGAGAGAGAAACCCTTTCCTTTTACCACTCACTAGACTCTAAGAATTGCAATGGAAAATACTGAGAATGATTTCCTCTCAAGAGCTAGGGTCTTTCTTCATAGGTGGCTTTCTTCATAACTATCTTGACTCCCCCATCAGACTCCTTAGAGACTGCTTCTATGCAGAAATGTTTGGATTTTTAAAGGCCACCAGGGGGGTGTCTGGTCCATCAGCCAATGGCTAGCCAGCCTATACTTCCATCACACTGAGTAGTATTTCTTCATATATCCTAAAGCATCAAGAGTTATAAAAAATCCTTTAGCTTCCTTTATTATCTGTGAATAGGTCATTCAGGGTGGGACCTAATGGTCCCACTAGCCAAAATACAAAAGGATTTACTCAAAATCTGAAAGGGGACACACTTTACAAAGTACTATCATAAAAACTAATCTTCTCTGTTAGGCTTCTTACAACATGTAATTTTATCAAGTGGGCTGGGAGGAACTCAACTGATTAGAAATCTGTATCAACTCTCCCTTTCTAGCTCCTACAATGACAAGGTACTTATGCTTAGGAAGGAAGAATAGAAACAAGTGGTGTTGAGTGCTTTACACTTAATTATCTCATTTGATTCTAACAGTAACCCTGGGAGGGAGGTGCTGTTATTATCCCCATTTTACAGATGAGGAAGCTGAGGCAACCAGAGATGAGGTGACTAGCCCAGGGCTACACAGCTAGTCACTGTCTGAGGCTGGCTTACAGCAAGATTTTCTTCTGTGATCTCATTAAGAAAAATGTACTTGGTGAAAAATTCAAGATTTTTTATAAGATAGCCATAGCTTCATCCTGAATGGAAGGGAATGATGGAAACAAGTAGCTAGGGATTGGGCAACTGTATAGAATTACAAGGAATTGACTAAAAGAAGACTTGGTAAAGCACTGGGGAAATGAAATTCTCTAGGAAAATGTGAGTCAAGGTAGAAAACAAAGGAAAATGAAAACCACTAACTGAAACTCCAAAATGATCTGAAAGTAGTAAGCAATGGATTTTATGGAAGTGATGCCTTGCTTTTGCGGTTATAACTGACAAAACATTTATGACTATTATATCATATTTTGGGCTGCTCTCCAATTGTTAAATAATTAATTATCAACTCCCTTGGCATACACAATTCTATCAAACCCAGAGGGAATAAATATTATTTAGTAACTCAGCATTTGCAGTTTAAAAATGGGTCCACTTTGAAGTCTGAATTCAAAAGAATAGCACAGTCTTCATATACAAATAACTAACAGTGAAGGTTATTGCCATCTTGAACTTATTATCTCACCAATTGTGGCTGTGCCCAAGACCAATATTTTAAAACAATTAAATTTTGGGGAAAAAAGAAACTTCATATTTAAAATACAGTGATGTTATTATTATCCTTACTTAAAGATAACGCCACCAATATTGTTGTACATTGTCCTGGGCTTTGGTCTAGACAGGTTAGATAGTTACTATAAAGAAGAATTCCTTACTTTTCATTCTCATACAGAACAGCAGTCTTAGCTCGGTAACCAAGTGTTTAGTGAGGGAAATTTGTTTTCTTTAACTCACTGCTTGCTTTATTTTTTTATACATCTAAATGTATAACATGTACTTGTAAACTGAATCTCTTAGTCATTTTAACAGAAGTTGATTATCAAGTCTCCATTAAAACCAATGGTATTCCTTGTTGACAATCCAATTCAGTCAAACCATACTCTTACAATTTATAAAGTTGGGACCTTCAAAGAGAAGACAGTATGCTAGATGGCTATAAAACTAGCTCTGTAATCAATTTAGCAAAAAAACAGCTTTTCTTCCTGAACAATTACTTTGTAAAAGGACACTGAGTGAGTATTCAGCAGATTAGAGTTTGATCACTGGGAACAACATAATGGTTGTATTTGGTCACCACCCACAGCAGGGATTATCCCCAATATAAAAGAGAAAATATGAGTAGGTACAACAGGAGTTTTCTGGAGAAAAAGAGAAACCGATCTGTCTGCATGCCATGAAAATTGTCATTCTCTCTCCAAGGGGCACTTTGCCCTGGGAAAGACCTTGACGTTTGCAAATCTAACAGAATAGCTAAGTAACAGAGAACAGCGAAAGCTGAGAGAGATTACAAATCAAGCACAGCAGGAGGGAAAGAGAGAGAAAGACAGAAAGAGAGAGACACACACACTATGGAAGTAGTTCCTTCTCTGGCCGTCTGAGCCACACTGTGATGGTAAACGGTTAGGCAAACAGAACTGCAGAAACATAACCCAAGGAAGGATGGTAAAGGGCTGGGAATCAACAGACCAGCATCTTAGCATGGGCTCTGCTACTAGCTGGTCGTGGAAGTTTGGACGAGTCACTTAAGCTCTTTCAGCCAGTTTCCTTATCTGTAAAATGGAAGAAAAATGAATTGGATAATCTACGAGAAAATCAAGTCTCCAATAAGAGATTTTTTTCCCCCAAGACTAAAAGCTTGGCATTAAGCGTGTGCATGGTATGTTAGATACCATGAAGGCTGCACTTTTCAAAAGATGTATAGTTTCCTCAGTGTGGGTACTTCTGCTACGGATGAAATCACAAACTCTTCACACTTTTAGAAGCTGGTTTTATGAGCTGCTATGCCCAAAATAATGCACTAAAAGAGAAAAAAGACTTCTTCAAATAAAATAATCAGAGTGCAAAAATACTTTACGATGCTTAAATTTAAGAAGTTACTTTAGGGGATGTTATTCTCTTGTATTATTCCAGTACCTTGGATCTTGTTCTGTGTAGATGCATTCAGTATATTTTTTATTCCCAAAGCTGGTTCGAAATACATCACAACATCGAAGGTTCTTTTGGCAAGTGTATAATAAAATGCCATCCTGTGCCCATTCTGAAAGGAAAACAAATTAAGTGATGAAATACTACTACATTCTAACAGAAAAGCACAATAGTCATGATTCTGTTTGGGAGTCTATCCTTGGAAACCAAAAGTTAAAGTGAACTTGATTAACTGAACTAAGATAACAATAACAGCAGCTGACATTTATATAACATATTTAAGTTTGCAAAATGCTTTTCCACATGTTTTTTCATCTGATCCTCACAAAAACCAGTGAGGTAATTTTATCCCTATTTTACATTTGAGGGAACTGAGGCTGAGAGAATTCATGAGCCTCATCCAGGGTCATAAATTCAATAAGCCTTCTACAGAAAGAACTACTACTGCCTCTGTATAAATTCTCAAGTATCTACTGTTATTTACTATGAGTGTCGAGACTTTTCAAGAAAGCATGAAGGATTAAATGCTTTAGAATTCTGAGCAGGTCTAAAGAAAAGCACATGTGATTTGAGAATCAGAACAAAATGGAAACTGGGTTTAAACTACAGCTTCTAACTTGAAGACTGAGGAAAAACCAGATCTTTTATTCTCATTTCTAATTCTTAGGACTGGCAAACTGTTTAGAGTACAGACAGCAGGAACCATACCTGAGGAAAAATGGTGGTTAAAAAAAAGTACAATTGGGTAAAATACTTATGATGGTAGGAGAAGAAATGGGAGGATGATGTGGCTATATTTAGCATTCGACGTTAAGTTATAAAAATGAAAGTTCGCCATGTCCTTTACAATGTTACAACACTGTTAATGAATGTTAGATTGATATTTTCTTCAATGTCTGACAATGACTGTGGACTGCATAACCATTATTCATTCTAAATGCAGTTTTGAAATGAAAAGACAATAAAAGTTGGACATTTAAATCTTATCAGATGCATCTTATTATATTCATCTCATCAGCGAAGTCACTCTTTATAACAAACCAAGTTAGCACTTATTGAATCATATCATATACAGCACCTTATGGGCTGACTATATTTTTAATAATATTAAGGTAATTTGAAATATCAGTCCACTTGAAATCAAAGGGTAAGGAAGGATGAACCCAGGTTTATGTCCACAGGAGGGCACAGGGCAGGAGTGGGGAACCTGTGGCCTCGAGGCTACATGTGACCTTCTAGCTCTTTGGGTACAACCTTTTTACTGAGTCCAAGTTTTACAAAACAAATCCTTTTATTAAGGGGATTTGGTCTTTGAAGTTTGGATTCAGTCAAAGGATCTCACTTGAGGACCTAGAGGGCCACATGTGGCCTCAAGGTTGCAGGTTCCCTACCCCTGGCATAGGGCCTTCAAAAGAGACTATAGAACTGATCAATACCCCTCTCTAAGTGGTAAGTATGATAATGTGGACAGTTCCTCTTTTAGCTTTATTTATGCTTTCCATATGGATGACTTTCAACTTTTATCTCCAGCTCCAACTTGTTTTCTAGACTTTCTATTCACATTTCCAACTATTTCTTGATTATTTCAAACTGGATATTCTAATATAACTCTAATTCAACAATTTAAAACCAAATTAATCACAATATTCTTAAACATCTTTTTTCTTTCTTATTTTGCTGAAGGCACCATCATATTTCCAGTTACTCAATTTCAAACCTACCTTTAGAAGTCCTATTTGAATCCTGGCTTATCTTTGTCCCCTATTTAGGTTAAACATCCCCAATTCCTTTAACTGCATGAACTTAAGGCCCTTCACCATCCTAGTTATCCTCCTGTAGACCCTCTCCCGCTTATACTCTTCTTAAATATGGTACCTAGATCTAAATGTATCCCACAGAGCAGAAAGCCTATCTCCTCATGATTCTTCTATGTCTCTCAATATACCCTAACATCATATAAAATTGTTGACTCACATTGAATTTGGTAGTCCACAAAAACTCCAAATTAGATTTTTTAAAATATATATATTTTTTATTTTTAGGCAATTGGGGTTAAGTGACTTGCCCAGGGTCACACAGCTAGTAAGTGTCAAGTGTTTGGTCTGAGACTGGATTTGAACTCAGGTCCTCCTGACTTCAGGACTGGTGCTCTATCCACTGCACCACCTAGCTGCCCCCAAAAATAATTTTTTAAAGTTCTGAATTTAACCATAACAAAAAAGAGTATTTCTATATACAAAACAGAAGGGGAAAATAGGATTACATGTAAAAATCTGAATCTCTATTACATATAGTTTCCTTTAAAAAAAGGATATACTAAATTCAACCTATTACTTTCAAAGCTATACTACTTGTCTGTGTTTCCTTCTGAACTTCCTTCTATTCTCTTTTGCACAATTAAAAAAATGATTCAATGACTGTCTTTTCTTTATTATCTTTTGGGGGGCAACCTTATTGGTAGCTCCTTTTCCCCCTAAAATCCTGGCTGCCTCCTCAAAAAAAAATAGTCCTCATAACAAATAAGCATGGTCAAGCAAAACAAATCTACAAATTTGCTGTGAACAAAAATTTATGTTTAATTCTGCACTTTGGGTCTATTAACCCTCTTTGAGTCTATTAACCTGTCAGGACTTAGGCAGCACGTTTTCTCATCAGTCCTCTGGAATGGCTGGCTATTGCAATGATAAGACTGCTTAAGTCTTTCAAAATCATTTTTCTTTACAATATTGTTGTTAACTGTATAAATTGTTTTCCTGGTTATATTCACTTCACTCTGCATGAGTTCTTACAGGTCTTCCCAAGTTTCTCTGAAACTATTTTGTCATCACTTAAGCCATAATAACAATATTCCATTATATTCAAATATGATTTGTTCAGCCATTCCCCAACTGATGGGCACTCTCTTTGTTTCCACTTCTTTGCTAGCACTTAGCATAGTGTCTGGTATACAGTAAATAATTAATAAATGTTTTATTAACTGACCGAGAGAAGGATATTTTGCACAGATAGGTCCTTTCCCTTTCTTTTATCTCTTTGCTGTATAGGTGTAGCAGTAAGACTATTAAGAATAGGGCCTCCTGGATATTTTTCTGATGACTACTGCCTAACCATGCTTCCTCACTCCTGTATCTGTAGCTTATCTTTTGAGCCCAAGTCTAACTCTTAGTGACAGAACCTAAGGATCCTTGGGCCTTGACATCCACCCTGCAGCTAAACTTTGTTTTCTTTGTTGTCTCTCCCAATTACAATGTGAACTGCTTCAAAGCAGGGACTGTCTCACCTTTTCAATTTTTATCTCCAGTGCTTATCATGATGCTTAGCACACAGTAAACTTTTACTAAATGTTTTTTCATTCACTTATTTGATAAAAATGTTAAATAGCACAAAGAAAAGTACATATTCCTGGGAGAGTCATTGGATTATAGATTTATAGTTGGAAGGTAACTTAGAAGTCATCTAGTCCAGGCCCCTCATTTTTGCAGATGAGAAAACAGACCCAAGAGCTTTAAGTGACTTGCCCAATGTAACACATGTAGTAGCCTTAGAGCCTGGTTTCAAATTCAGACACTGAGAAAGCCAGCATTCTTTCCAATGTACCACACTGCCTCTATTTTAAATTGACATGATGCCATTAAAGACTACTCTGAAATCAAGCCACTCAAATCAGTTCCAAATCTGTCATATTATGGATAGATTACTTACTGTCTAATCCATAATTTCCCATCTTTTTCTCAAGAATAGTATGAGGATTTTGTCCAATGCATTACTCTAACAACTAGGGAAATGATATCTATGGCCTTTCCCTGATCTCCCAATTTAATAATCCTGTCAAAGAAATAAGGTTAATATGGAATGACCTGTTCTTCATAGATGTTAATAGATGTCTCTTTAATAATATATTCTAGAATTTTGCCCATTCTTTTTTTTTAAAGGGAGGTTTGCCCTTTATAGTCCCTATGGCAACACTCCAGTTTCCATGATCTTTCCTTTTTAAAAAATTTAATTGATATCTTTTTTCAAGAACTTCACATCCTTCCCTCTTTCTCATCCCTTTTAACACTAAAAGGGGGGAAAAAATTCAGTAAAACTAACTAAAACATCAACCAAATCTGGGAGTATTATGTCCTGTGACACACCCACAGTCCCTTCAAAGAAGGGAAAGAGACTCATATTTCTCATCTCTTCTTCAGGGACAATGATGATAAATACAATCTTTTTCTTCTTCTTCCCTTCACATTGTTTTAGTCATTATGTATATAATTTTCCTGGTTCTGCTTAATTCAGTTCATGTAACTCTTCCTATGCTTCCCTAAATTCTTCATATTAATAATTTCTTTTAATATAATAACATTCCAATACCTCACATAGCACAATTTCTTTAGTCACTGCCCAATCAATGGTTATCTACTTTGTTTACAGTTTTTGCTACTACAAAAAGCATTGCTCTCACAGCTTTGGTGTAGATGGGCCCTTTTTTCCTATCTTTGACCCTAGAGTCTATGGCCAGCTGTGAGACCGCTGGCTCAAAGGGACTGGATGCTTTAGTAACTCTCTCAGCGAAATGTTAAATTGCTTTCTGGAAGCACTGAACCAGCTCACAAGCTCCAGCAAAGCGCATTGTCTTTCCTCACTCCTTTCTCTGTAATCTTTCAAAGACAACAGACAGTGGCCCAGCAATCACATTTGCCATTTCTTTCAGTAACTGAGGATGTAGTTCATCTGGGCCGGGTGACCTGAAATCATCAAAGGCATCCAGAGGCTTTCTTGTTGTCTCTTTACTTCTCTTGGGTATCTACTCCCTAGAAGCCATATTTGTTCTTTTTTCAGTCCAAAGGTCATTCTTCTTGGCAGAGAAACAGAAAGAAAATAAGATTTGAGCAGCTCTGTTTTCTCTCCATTATCCTTGTCGGTTATTGTCCAAATCCATTCTTAAATAAAGTCTTATCCTGTCTTTGATTCTACTCTTTTCTCCAATATTGTTAACAAAACAAAACAAAACAAAGCAACCCTTCCTCTTGGTGTTATTTTTAGCTTTCCTCACCAATCTCAGTTCATTCTGAGTGTTAACACTGCTAACATAGGAGTCCTCACAGGACTATGTCTTGCTTTTGTGTTCATCTTATGTAACACTACCTAGCTCACTGACTTCTGTCTTTGGAAAAGCTACATTGCTTGATGAGCTCCTCATACATCTAAACTGGTCTCTTCCTCTTTTATTCCCTCATCAGAATTTCACCATGTGATTTTAAGCTTTCATTCTTGAGTAGCTTCTATCCTTCCTGGGTTAACTTTCCTTTTAGAACTGTAGTTCATGGATGAGATCTTCTGACCCTTACAAGATCTATTCTCTTCAAATCTAGGGTACAATATGCAATCTTCTTCTGTCTTGGAAACTTGAAAAGGAAATGGTTACTTTTCCCTGGGCTTCTGCTTCTTTCTATCAGATCTGGAATAGACTATCCCCTTATTGGTTCTTCTACCTTCTGAAGGAGTAGAGGTCCTTAGAAAAGGAGAGTAGAGGTCCTTAGAAAAGGAGTAGTTTTGCCCTTGAGTAGAAAAATTCAGACACGGCAGACTCTGGGGTCGCTCATCACTGTGCAATTCCTCTGGGGTCTTCCTGGCCTGAATCCCCATTCTGCTTGCCCTGATGACCTCAGTTAAAGAAATGGTTTATCTGCAGACACTTGCTGCAGGGAGCACCCACACATGTATATACACAAATAAGGTGAGGGAGACATGCACAGGAGGAAGGGAGCCCAAGCTTCCTGACTACCACCTTAATGGTATTAGCTTATTGCACTGAAATTGGCTAATCTAGGTAATACCCACAGAAAACAAACAAAAAAACACCCTTAATTAATTCCTGCATCCACCAGCACAGTATTGCCAGGTGCTGCTTCCTGAAGCACTTCTCTATGCACTGTGCTTCCCAGGTGTCATCATGGTGTAATGGTCCTCCTCTTCCCTGCTGTGCTTAAATCTGATGCCACCTGCTCTGGGAAGTCTTCCTTCATCTCTCTAGTTGTTAGCAGTCTTTCCTTCTCCAAATTACCATGTATTTACCTGCATACATGTTATAATTTCCAGTAGAAAACAAGCTCTTTGAGAATAACAATTCTTATTTTGGTTTTGGTTTTATAGCCCCAGCGTAGGGCACGGTGCCTTACACACAGTAGGTGCTTCATATCTAGACCCCTGTTACTGATCCTCATCTCCTCTTCCCTGGACTAGTGCGGCCTAACTAACCAGTCCCGCTGCCTCTAGTCGTTCACTCTCTCTTCACTTCATCCTACACTCTGCTATCGAATCAATCTTCCTGAAGTACAGCTTTGATCATGTAATTGTCTTGCTTTAAAACATTCAGTCACTCCCCAAGTTAAAACTTCTTATTCTGGCAATTAAGACTCCTTCCACAATCTGATCCCAAACTACCTTTTCAGCCTTATATCTTATTACTCCTATTTATGTATTCTAAGCTCCAGCCAAAAGAGACTCCTCACAGTCCCCTAAATTCCATTCACCATTCTTCATTCTTAGGTCACAGGTGCCAGGTCCTTCCCTCCCAGCTCTGATTGTTCAATTCTTAGCCAACCTCTAAGGCCTAGCTCAAATGCCACCTCTTCTGTGATGTCTTCCGAGTCTCTCTGGCCAAGGAAGTCTGCCCCAGTCAGCACTCCTCCTCCTCTTCTCTGAACTTTGTGCTTCATTTATTATGCTTTTACTTCCTACCCTCTATTATAATTCTATAGTTATCTTGCATATATGTCTTATTTTCCCATATTAGCCTGTAAGTTTCATGACAGCAGAGCCTATCTTATTATATTTTTATTCTACAGAATCTACCACTGTATGTGGTAGGCATGTGATAAATATTTGTTCAGTGAATATATGTTGCCCTTACCCTTTTGGACGCTGCCTTTAAGGAGAGAACATGTCTGCTAGTGGCTTACCAAAACTGAACACATTGGGAATGAAGTCCTCCACTTTTGGACACTTGCCAAGCTTAACAATTACACACATAGACTCTTCAGAATCTGAGGTTTTTATGCTGGCTGCCATGTACTCCTCCCCTGGAGAAATCCTGATACGTTCAACAAAGGCATTATATAATGAAAGCTCTTCCAAACGGAGTAAAACTTCACAATTATTAATACCTAGTACATAAAGAAAAATACAAATCATAGACCAGACACCAAACTATACATTTTATTTCAAAGAGGAATTTCATGTATTTGGATCTCAAGATAAATATCTGCTTCTAATAGCAAATATATTGCTCTTTCTCAGAAATGATGTGATTTATATTTAATCTGGGATGAGAATATGTAGTATTTAGGGATAAACTCATAAATTTATATTTGTATAATCACAAACAAAATAAACAAACTAATTTAAGAAAAAGCTCTGTTTGTCACCTATGCTTTGGCTAGAGTATATCCTTGTTAATACTGATATAACAAATTTAGATATTAAAAAAGATTGTAAAAAATACACACAAAATTAAGTTACTTTAAAAAGACAATAACGTTGAGTCCATCATGCCTATGTATCTACTCTATTTCTACCATTGTATATATTTCATTGATGAACATTTATATTTCTCAAGAAAGAATATCTGAAAAATGAAAGCATGTAAAAAAGAAAAAATAAGTTTACCATCTCCAAGTTTCACACGAAGTATACAACCATCTTCTTCATAGTAAATAAAATCACCAAATCTAATCTGAGAAGTGAAAGAAAAAGTGTTGCTATAAAAAGTGCAAAACTGATTCAATTCATAATTATGTCCCTTTATTGATCTCTGATAAAATGAGCTATTCAATATATCGGATGATACCGCAAATACTTCGATTTCATTAAAAAAATAGATCCACCAATGTAGAAATATATGAACATATACTAAATAAAGAATGAAATACCTGTCACATGTTTCTTCCTTTTCATGTTACTTCTGTATATTTATGGAATCAGTGAGCTTCATATACCAGTTTGTACTTTAAAATTACAAAGGACTTTTTTCCCCATAACCCTGTGTAGCTATTACTATCATCACCCCTGCTTTTTTTTTTTTAACCAATGAGGCTACCGAGACTTAGATACTTGCACAAGATCTAGGACAGCAGAGCATAGAGCTAAGACTCTAAGCTTCTTCTGACCTTAGGGTTTCTTCTACTACATTATGGTGAAAATTAGTACTGGAGACTCAATGAAATTCATTAAATTCAAATTTCATTTTATGTGAAACCTCAAATCTAGCAATACTGCATTATTTTATAATACAAGGAAAACTTCTAGTTGCGATGAACTTATATTAAAGAAGAAATTAATTTTCTAAATTCCCAGAAGCAGTTCTGTTACTCCTGCAGGGAGCTGTGCCTCTTTCAGTTTTATACTGGTTTACTCTGAGTTTCTGAGAGAACCTTTCATTCTCTCACCACTGCCTACCGAGGGAGTACTGGGATGGAGATAGTGATTGTTACAAGTCTCTAGACTGTACAGCACTGCTTGAGGGTATATGCCTGAAACATGATTATTTAAGATATAAGTTTAATTGAAAAATATTCAGGTGAGTAGCTGTACTTAACTGTGGCTACTTTAAGATGACAATGAAATAATTTAGTTTTAAGCTATATAGCCAGAATGTATTTTAAATGTGTTTCCCTTTGTACAATGCTTTTAAACAAAGCTGCCAAAGATGCTTTTGAGACAGGAACATCATAAAGCAGTTTAATGGCATGAAATAACATGGCTACACTGGTCTACTAGCACTACTTAAAAATCAGAGCTCAAGTTTAGACATTATAGTTAAACATGATAATTACTTCTTTTATAAAACGAACTCTAAAAAACAACTATTTTTACACTCAGAACCTTTCTGAGCTTAGTTCTGGTTTAAACTTTAACATTTTACAAAAATATCACATCATATTCATTTTAAGGGTTGCGATGACTATTCTTTGGCTCGAAACAACAAAACATTGACCTGCAAATGCAGCTGACTGCTTGCAGCACCAGGGATCTTTAGGTGCTGAACGTACATTTGCTTCTTGGCCTACAGTGCTGGAGGTTATTTTTTAAGGAGGGAAATAAATCATTTCCTACTGACCTCTAAGCTGTCCAAAGTGAGTAAGTATTTGTCATAGAATGCTTCTATTTTCTTCTTGAATCTTTCCATAGAATCCGAGTAATTTATTAAAAGGGATTTTGTGTTCTCTTGTTCAGTATTCAGAAGATCCTGTAATAAATATTTTACTAGAGCAGTCAAATTATTTTAAACTACTAAAATTGTCTACTTTCTAAAGAAAAATCCTTTGTTTCCTTTTCATGCAAGTTTTACAATGCCAGGAACACTTAATGAAGTAATAAGTAGTTTGAGAGTTCTTGAAAGGCTTTCTTAATTCCTCCCCCCGAGAAAATCCTCCTTCCACAGTTCCATGTTGATGCAGAAATCTCATTTTAAAATCCAAACAAAAAAGGATACACAGGACACTCAGCAACTAGAATACTGCTGTGCTCTTTAACATTAATAATTCCAAAGGACGAGGAGCGCAGAAGTGTAGCTAAGACCCGTACTCCGCTTGAGAGAGTGTGCAGAAGCACCATGGGCAACGTTTACAGGAGATTAAGCAGAAAAAGAAATCCCATGTATTTTACATATTTAACACTCAGTCAGGGGTGGGATAGTAGAGAGAAAGAGAGCTAGAGGCATCTATTGAGTTTTTACAAATACTGAAGTATGAAAAGGGAAGCGCTGCAGGGAGGGAGAGGAGGACACTTTATCTTTACTAATAAAAGCTCACCATCATTTTACTCACAATAAAACAGTTATCGCATAAGAAGTCTGCCCTACCCCACCTCCTCATCAGCAATAATTTGCTTCCCTTGTTGGGATAAGCAGCAGCCAAAGGCAGAACAGTTTATCTGTTCAAAAGGTGAATTACTGCCTTGCAAAATGGAGCATCCCTTTTATTTTCATTTTTGAAAAAAATGCATTCACCATATGTAAGGAAAAATCAATGAAATAATGGAAGAATTAAAGAAAATTAGCAGAGACACAAATGAAAGCTTAATAAGTGCCTACTGAATGAGAATCTGCCCATGAATGTTCTTAGTGGAGACAGGAAGACCTAATAAATAAAAAACTTGAATTGACCTCTAGAGCCACATAAATGGACATATATGTCACCAAGGTCCTAGATAGGAGGAAAAAAATCTCAACTGCCTGATGAATAATGTGCCTTACAGTTTAAGATTCTATTAAAACTGTCCAGGAATGAGTGCCCGTAAGTAGAGGAAACCAATCCAGTCAAGCTTTCTAAACATGGATCTTTGTCAAAGACAATAGTCACGATTACAAGTGCCAAAGGAGTCATCCATCCTTCAATAATTAACTCATCAAGCAACAAATCTTCATTGAATGACTGGTGCGCCCACGATATTTTACTAGGCATGGTACAAGAACACAAGCTAGAACTAGCTTCTGCTCATGACGAGTTTACAGCCTAAAAGCTACAAAGATGAGATACGACAACACACAAATATAAAAAACTCATACCTCTGGCCCACAATATCTTCTTTATATGTTACTCATTTTTTATTTTCCATTTTTGGTAGACATTCTAGATTTTGGTTGAACTCAATCTGATTCACATTAGGACCACAGGTGAGGTAGAAAGCTATAGAGCTAGATCCAGCATCTATACCTTTTACCTCTCTGATTCTGGCTTAAAGTATAAGATAAAGGGAAGAAATCAAGGCAAAATTATTTCCTAACCAAAATCAAATGAGATTTAAAGCTCTCTATAGTATTCTAACTTGCTGATTTATTTTAATTATATAAATAATTAAATAATTTTTATTAAGTGATCACTTACAAGGTCTGCCCAAAATACTGTAAACTTCAGTACAGCCCCATTTCCTAATCAATGAAACTGCCATCAGAATTTTATACAAGGCAGAATTTATTTTCGGAGGAAAAGAAAGTGAAACCATTTATTTTGACTTATGATACTTAAATAACCATCTATATTCACTAGACTACTTAAATAATAGCCTTAGATATAAATAAACAAAATATATAAATATATATTTATATATATATAACTGGAGGTTGACTAGAAACTTATGTTGCAATTGTAACATTAAACAGTGATGCAAAATGAAAAATAGACCTGCTGGTCACAAGAGGGGCCCTCCAAGTGACCTGATTTTGTTACCCATGAACCCAAATCTGATCCCGATGAGAACCCAGCACTGATCGCGAGGTTGTGTAGTTGGGACCATGATTTAAGTTATATTCGCCTGCCTAATTTTTCCCTATGGCATAACCAATTGAATAAAGCTGAATTCTTTTGATTCTCCTCCAGTCTCTGACTGCTCTTTATTCTTCTCTTGCCCTGTAAAGCTCTGTATCTCCTATCTTCTATCCTGGTCCACTTCAACTCTCTCACTATACTCTTTTCATTGGGCCTCTCTTCATTATACTCACATATTCTTCCATGGCTTCAGTCATCATCTCTACAGGCACCCCTCAATCTCTATTAGATGATAATGTCTATTAGATTTCTTAGATATTCCACCAACACCTCAAATTTAACAGGCTGAAGACTAAATTTTTATAACTCTCTCCCCAGAACCTACCCTTTCCCCTAACTTCTCTATTTCTGTTGACAGCACTATTACCCTCCAAGTCACCTACCTACACATATCCTGGGATTACAAGTTATCCCTTCCAAATCACGATTTTCCCCACTGAAGTTTTGATATATTGTGGGTCAGCATAAGAAATGAAATGGGAATTTTGTGGAAACTGCAGATGACACACAAAGATGACATAGAAAAAGTTTAGAAACTCAGAAATGCATAAAATATATGTATAGTATTGTATAATATAACCCATGACCAAATATTTAACTCAAATTTTACAATAAGGTACTGTAAACACCCCATAAAAGAAAAAAAAATTAAGGCTTCTTCTCTGGTACAAAGAGAGGGCCAAATTTTTCTATGCAGACTTTCCAGATTGCTAGGGTTCTACACCCCAAACCCTACTATGTGGAAGGGATAACTGTATCTTTGACTCATTTTCTATGATCACTCTTTCTCACTCTCATTTGCTGTATTTTAATCCATGTTATGCTCATTGAATGTGGGTGCCTTCCTTCTTCTCTTCCCACTCTCACCCCAAGACTGTCTTGGGCCTTCTCTTTTCACTCTGTACTATCTCAGCTGGTGATCTCATCAGCTCCTATGAGTTAAAACTATCATCTCTATGTAGATGGTTCTCAGATGTGTATATCCAGGCCTGGTATCTCTACTGAGCTCTTATTGGACATTGTGAGCTGGATATCCTGTAAGCATCGAACACTCAGCTTTTCCAAAACAGACCTCATTATCTTACCCCCCAACCCTCCACCCAACCCTCAATTTTCCTGTTGCTGAGGTGCTGTCACCTTCCCAGTAACCCAGGATCACAACCATGGTGACATTCTCAACTCACTACTCTCACTTCAAAAAATCTAATCCATCACCAAATCTTGCCATTTCAACTTTCACAACGTCTCTCCCATACATCCCCTTTCCTCCACTCACAGTCACCAACCTAATTCAGGTCCTCAACACTTCTTACCTGGCCTGCAAGAACTTTCTAATTGGTTTTCCTGTCTCTAGTTTCTCGCCTTTCCAATACTATCCTCCACTCAGCTGTCAATAATTTTCCTCAAGCCTAGATTTGCTTATATCCTCCCTCTCCTGTTCCCCATTCAGTAGATTTCAGTGACTCCCTGTTACCTCCAGGAACAAATATACTCTTTTTGGCATTTAAAGCTTTCCATAACCTAGCCCGTTCTTACTTTTCTTACTCTTCTTATACACTACAATCCAGCTTAATTAGCCTATTTGCTGTCCTTTACATAGGACACTATATGTCTCCTCTCTATGCCCTTGTACCGGCTGCACCCCCATGCCTGGAATGCTTTCTTTCCTCATCTATTTTTAGTTTTCCTTGGCTTTCATCAAGATTTAGCTCAAATCTCATATTTTGTAAAAGGCCCTCTCCTCCGAGATTACTACCTTCCATCTGCTCTGTGCATATCCTGTACGAACCTATTTGCACAATGTCCCTAACCATTAAAATATAAGCTCCTTGACAGCAGGGACTATTTTTGCCTTTCTTTTTATCCCCAGTACTCAGCACTGTTTGACCAATCGATTGTTGCCTCCTCTCCCTCTCTTCAGGTCCCAACTCAGATGCTATCTCTTCCTTCACTGACCCTTCCCTACCCAGGTATAAAAGTAAGCTCTCCACACCTGAGTTTGTCTTCCTTGCATTACGTAAGTCGGCTCAATTAGTAAAACAATTTCCAATTCTATCTGCACAATGCTTCTTAGGTCAGCCCTTTCCTCTCTGTCCTCCATCCTAGTTCAGTCTCTCATCTCTTCTTGCCTAGACTATTAGAATGGCCTTCTAACTGCTTCCATTCTATCCCCTCTCCAATTCATCCTTTAAATTACTGCCCAAGTAATCTTCCAGTAATCTAAAACTTTTAGTAGCTCCTCAATGTCTACTAAATTATAAAGGACTGATTCTGGGATTCAAGGCGCTCTATCCTATTGATATGAGGTATGGTCCAGACCAGGGAGGCGGAGCCTGAGGCCACATGGGGCCTTCTAGATCCTTAAGTGAGGCCACATTTTGAAAATTTGGATTCAGTTAAAAGGTGGCAGTTAAGGATCTAGAAGGCCACAGAATGACCTCAAGGCTGCAGGTCCCCCACCCCTGGTCTAGACAAACTGGGATCTTTGTCTCCATTCTTGACCCTTTCCTGTGTCTGTGGTTTTATTCTCATGCCACCCCTCATACCCAGAACAAGGCCTAACTCAGATGCCTGCTTCCCATACATTCTCAGATAAAAGTGATTTCTCTTGTGTGATAATTATTTGTACGTGTCTTCCCTCCATTATATTGTAATATCCTAAGAAAAAAAGTCTTTTGTCCTATCTTTCTTTGTAGCTATGGCATCTAGCACTGTCCCTTGCACCAAAAGGACACAAATTTATTGAGGTGAATTATTTTATTCTTTCTATTGACAGCTACTGTGTGCTTTTAAATCTGCAAGCTACATGATACTTTTATCATCACTGCTTTTTAGGATATGTTGATGACACTACCCCTCTAAATAGGTAAAAATCCAGTAGTACCTTAATAGTCTATTTAATATGATTAATATCCTGATAATTAATGATCCTGAATTATTTAATATTATTAATATCCTGATAAGTCAATTTGTTTCATGGCATTATACAAACCTTCCTATCTCTTATAGCTGAAGTGGTATAATATTCATTGGGTTGCAACATTTCAGGAGAGATTGGAATTTAGTGTAAAGCAATCTCAGACCTGTCAGAAGGTTTATATGTAGATCTAACAAGGGGCCTTCATAGTAAGGAGTGACTGCCTATGAAACAAACCTACAACATAAGGCTTTGAGGAGAACATTAGGGTGAGGCTGCAGTTTAATTCTTTTTTCCTGTTTTTCTCTCCCTTGTAAACACCAAACAAAAACATAGCTGGAGGCTCTTGTCGTATCTCAGGTCTTCAAAGCTTTGATTTTGTACATATTAAATTTTCTCTGGCAATTAATTCCTTGGTACTCCCCCATTCTAGTACTACACTATGTAAGAGTATATAATAATAAAACATAATATCTATAATAACTCAATAAATATTTACCAAATAACACTATCATTTCACATTTAAGGTTTACTACATTCCTTGCTCACAATCAAATAAGAATCCATATTTAAGTTTTACAAAGTTCTTTGCTCTAACACTTCTGTGAAGCAGGTAATGCAGGGATTACTAACTCCATTCTATCCATGACTAGAGAGCAGATTTCCTAACTCCAGGACTAGGGCTCTTTTCACTATATCTTGCTGCCTCTCCATGATTATACAAAGTCTTCCATATAAAACAGTGTGTAACTAACAAGACTAGAGACAGTAAAAGCAGTGTGTAGTACTACTAAAAAAAACTTTACAGCCTCTCCAATAAGTCCTCTTCATTTTTTTTTTTTCAGTTGAATTTTTGGGCAAGAGCTGTATTGCCACTTGTTAGGGATTCTTGGTCTGGTACTTTTGAGATCCTATCACTGAGAGACAGTGCTAGAACTCTGCCAATCCTTTATCTCTAAATTAGAATTTGTCTACAAATAGATTAGTATAAATAGTTCATACCGCATAGGAGAATCTCCAGCTTGTGATGTTTCTTCCTGACATCAATTTCTTGCATTTATTTTGCAAACTCTTAAAGCTGTGACATTTTCTCACATTTATCCAAGGGCAACAATCAATGAGGTGACGGTGATCACGAGGCTGCTTCTGTGTGCATTTTCCAAAGCAAGCAATACTAAACTTCAGAGTTTGGAGGAAGAATTTGGCTTTCTGATGCATGGTGTCAATGATGTTCTCTTCTTGTTCTGACTTTTGAATTCCTGGGACACGAATGCTTTTACAGTGAAATTCTAGTGAATTTTTGAAACACTGGAGATCAGCAGTTCTTAATCCACTTCCTAGAGTACCATGCCTCCGATGGGTAAAGAATAAGATACTGTACCATGAACAACTTTTGCTAACAGGTTCGGAGAGATCTAAAAATGTGTGTGTCAGTTTTGGAAAGTCAACAACTCCCTTCAGATACACACTTCTTTCTTGATGGATGCGTCTCTTCTGCAAAGTCAGTTCTCTCAGGCTGAGACCACATGGACACTATACCGGAACAGTTACATCCTACGAAAAAATTGAGAAGTTAACAAATGATCATATCTCTAAGATCTCATAATATCTGGGTCTTCCATTGGATAAACTACTTTGAATTCACATTTTACATATATTTGGTATACACAGAGAAGACAGCCAGAGAACAGGTCACATTTCAGTTTTCCCCCTCAATTTATCCTTCCCACAGCTACCAAAATAAATAATCCTCCTAAAGCACAGGTGTGACCACGTCACTCCCTAACCAACAACCTTCAGTGGCTCTGCATTGTATCTAGGACAAATACAAGCTCCTCAGCTTGGTGTCTATGAGCTCTACATTCTGGCATCAGCCTATTTCATATTATTCCCTTTCATATCCCTACATTCTAGTCAAACTGTATTTAACTAGACATTTCCCAAACTTCATATTCTTTTCTCCACCTTCATGCATTCACACAAGCCATTTTTTAATCTGGAATCATTCCCTCCTCATCTAACTCAGAATCTTTATCTTCCTCCAGGGCTAAGCTCAGGTACCACCTACTATGTGAAGTTTTCTGGTCCATGGTCCTTCACTCCCCCTCTTCCCCTCTTGTGAACGCCTTTCCCTCCTTGAATTAGCTTTTATTTATCTGTGGATAAGTTGTAACCCCCTTCCACAATAAAATATAAATTCCTTGTCGGCAGGGTCATCTTTTAAAAAATTTAATTCAATATTTATTAAGCTCCTATTATATACAAGGCACAGTGAATAAAAGACAAAATTGGAAAATTCCTCCCCATTCTATTGTGCCTTTTAGTGAATCAGATTTCAGTTTGAATCCTGATTTGGGTATTGATCTGTGTGAACTTGGGCAAGTCACAAGTCCACTGATCTTTCTTCATCTCTAAAATAAGATTCGTTTAAAATTATCTCTAAGATCCGTTTCAGGTTTAGATCTTATGATGGCTTATTAATATTTACTGAATTGAGATGGGCAACAAGTAGTGAGTTAATGTTGATGTTAAAGTTGAGGCTACAACACATGAATATCCTTTTAATGCAAGAGGGAAATTTATTTAAAATACAAAAATCTCTATTCTTTTTTTCCCCTTCTCCTCCCCTCCCCCCACAAAGGCTGGGAGATTACACAGGCAAAAAAAAAATCTAGATGGATTACTGAAAAGAAGTTAGTGGTGTCTAGGTTCCTCCAGAATCCCCATCAGGAAGGGCAAATACTACTCTTTTACAAATCATTTGTTAGCACAGCTGTCAGATAAAATGCTGAACACAGCAACTTCCCAGTAAATTGCCACTCAACTTAAAAAAGATCTGTGATTCCTTTAGGGCATTTACACTACTGTCCCAGACCAAAACCTCTCCACACCTCAGAAGAAGTTTCTGTGGCCAAAAGGCAAGCAATCAACCCTACTTGTTGATAAACCTCTGGCAACTTGACTTCTTGGGTCTCCAGAATAACAGGCTGGCCGGAGCTTCTGACCTGTAGGCACAGCTTTCCAGAACCCGGTATCACCAATATGCCATAATGAAACATCAGGAGCACTTTAATGGAAGCATTAATGGATGGCCTCTCCAGCCGATGGTTGTGGGAAGGAACCATGAAAATCTTTCTTCTGCAATAAACAGCTGGGGATTACCCCAGCTTCAGATTTGGGGGCAAAAATCTGTTCTCCGAAAAAAGAGGGGCATAAAAAGCTGAAACTCTTCACTTGGCCCTAAGTCGACTAATTCTGTACCCACTTCACCTTTGTTCGTACACGGCAGAAGCAGCAAGTAAACTTGAGAGCAGGGAATCGTTTTGCCTTTCTTGGGCAATTAGGCAGTGAAATAGAGTGCTATATTTGGAAGACGAGTTCAAATCCCACTTCGGATACCACCCTGCCAAGTCCCTTAACCTCTGCCTGCCTCAGTTTCCTCATCTGCAAAATGGGGTTAATAACAGCACCTACTTCCCGGGGCTGACATGAGGTCCAAACTCTTTGCGAACCTTAAAACGCCGTATAAATGCCGGCGATCATTATAGTCCCCAGCCTTCAGCATCCAGTAAGCGCTTAATAAATGCCTGCTGACTGACGAAGGCTTCTGGAGGGTCAGGATGGAGGAAGGCGGCTCCTACGGGGGCAGCCGATGTTCCCAATGGCCCTTCCGGACCCCTCGAGAGGCAGGAACCCAGCGGGCCTCTCAGGAGGGTCGGAGCCCGACGCCAGGAGGGATCCGAGGCCAAGGGAAGGAGAGGGGCAAGTCCGGGGTTCGAGCCCTTCCTAGCACGCGGCGGCCAAGAGCCCCACACCGGGATGGGAACCGAGCCCACTGTGGAACCAAGAACGGGTCTCAGAGCAAGACAATCTAGAGAAAACGGTGACTCCAGAGAGACGGGGTCACTCCCCGGCCTCGCAGACCCAGCTCCGGGTCTCCTCTTCCTGTCCTCAGCGGGTCTGCAAACCGGCTCCAAGCTGCCGCCGCCGTGACAACCGAACCGACGCAGGCCTGCTCAATCCAGCGTCGAGTGGGGCGCCCGCAGCCGACGCTCCTTTTCTTGGGGGACGCCGACGCCGCAGTCGCCATCTTTAGCGTGGGCTCACTTTCCGTGTATTCTCGGGCACTCCAGTTTTAGTTTCATGCCTTTGCCCGGATTTCCTTTGAGCCAGAACTACTGCAGCAGAGAAATGGAGGCAACATAAGGCGCACGTTTCCAGTTTCTTGCCAGAAGCACCTTGCCATGCTTCGATCTGCCCTCATCCAAGATGGCCACCCGAGATGGGGAGGGGTACTAGGAGGAAGTAGTGACAAGTCGATCGCCACGCTCTTCGTTCGCGGTTGCCGAGGTGACGCGTTTACCCGGAAGGGCCGCGTGCAAGAGCCGGCTCTAGAGGCCAGGGCCAGGTGGTCGGACCGCTGTGAGTCCTAGGAGCCGCAGGTCCTGTCAGCTGAGAGGCAGGCAGGCAGCCAGGTCCTGGCAGGGGAGACACGGAGGCAGCTGAGATGGATTCGCCGGCGGCGGGGGCCGGTCCTGGAGCGGCTGAACAGCTCATAACCGGGGAGCCGCGGCCGGCGTCTCGGGGGCACCTGGGCGCCGCCAGGTGGAAGCTGCTGCGGCAGGTAAGCCCCAGCACCCCCCAGTCCTGCGCCCCGGCTTCGTCCGTTTCCTTCCTTTCTGCGAAGCGCCCGCCTTGGCCAGTTACTTCTGTGAGTCCCCCCCGGGAAACAAACGGCCCTGAAAAAGGATTCCGGGGCGCAGCCGGCCCCACTTCCCATGTCCCCCTCCCAAGCCTGGCCGTAAGGCCCCACTTAATGTCTGGGTGCATCAGGCTGACTTTGCCCCGCCCCCTCGCCTTTCTATCGCTTGGGGTCTCTATTGACCGCGGGCTCCTCTTCTGTTGCCGTCCCCTCGCCACTCCGTGTCTTCCCACTCGCCATCTCCTCTCGCAACTTTTATCCCACTTGTTGACCACTTCGTGGGCGACTTTGGCCGTCAATAATGTTCCTAGAGAGTCTTATCAATGATACAAATTACGAGGGCAATTAGGGTGGTGCAGTGGCTACAGCCATGGATCTGGGCGGCAGGAAGACTTGCATTTGAATCCTGCCCCAGACAGTTCCCAGCTGCTCCCTTCTGGACCAGTGACTTAACCCCTTACAGCCTCAGTGTCCTTATCTGTAAAACGGGAATAGGAATGGCACCTGCCTTAAGTGGTTGTGGTGAGGACCGACACTCCCAACGAGATTACCTCCAATTTACCCGTACATATCACCAGTTGATTATTTCTTATTGATCCCGTGTCTAGCTTGTTTGTTAATAGTTGCTTGTCTCTCCCAGTAGAGAGAAAGGACCGTTTTTCGCCTTTTTTTTCATCCCCAGCACTTGGTGGGGTTAGATGGTGAGAGGGAGGTGAGTAAAGAGTGAAGGATGACAACTAGATTTCTCACAGGGTGAGATTGAAAGAATGGTGGTGTTGTGGTTTGGGTGTGCTGGGAACCCCGAAATGCAAGGGTCCAGGGTGGGAGTCTGCCTCGAAAGAATTCTATCACTAAGCCTTTTTCACTCAGAGTAACCAGGTTTATTGAGCAATTTAATAGGGAAAAGATTGATATTTTGTACAGAAAGACTGTGGGGAGATCTGGATGGGATTAAGGAGTGGCAAGTAGCCAGGTGCAGACAATGAAGGTCATGAGAAAGGGCAGTTAAAAGGATTATTGACTGGGATGGGTTGAGTGCCTTAGGCAAAAGCCAGGGATCTGGGTTCAGAGGCTGGCTTCCTGAAACTCGTAGGAAAGTTCAGGGCCTTTTTTGGGTCCATCATTAACACCCCATCTGTGGGTTCCTTCAAGGAGATAGAGAAGTTAGAAGGAGGAGTGAGTATTGGGTGGTGATAATGAGTTTTGTGATGTTGGGATGCCTATGGAGTTGAATCTTAAAGATATGAGGGCTGGGATAAGTCGATTTGGGAGTCATCTGTGGGAGCTGCTGCTATTTCTTTAGCGGTCAAAGTGCTGTTGTTTGGTTCAATGTGCAATTATATCCGAAGAGGTGATCGTTGACCATGAATAGCACTTTGAGGTTGTATAAAGAAGACTGTTTATGATGAACCATGCTTTGGGTTTTACAGCTTGTTCTTATGGCTATGCTCCTCTGGCTGCTCCCAAACTTAGTTTAAGAGCCACTCCATCTCTAGCTGTGACAGGCTCACTTGAGTTTTTGTTGCTTATAACTATTTCTCAGAGGTTCCCAGCCATTGCCACCCTGTTTGAAGTAGCATTTTTATCATTGTGTACCTTTGCAGTTGTCCCGTTTCATCTATGACAACAGAACCTTTGCAGGCCATATGTCACTCCTTTGCCAATATACTGATAGTGCAAATGGATTTGCTGTTCAATTTTAAGGGTGACTTGTAAATGACATTGTTATTGTCATATTGCCTCTGATATGCCAAAGTAACAGAATTAATTTGTTAGAAGATTAGTTTCCATGTTTGCCACATTAGCATCAATGCAGTAAGGGTAGAGTATAAGTTGATTATCAAAATGACAAGTTATTGTAGTCATAAATAATGAAGTTTTTCCTTTTCTTTTCTTTTTTCCCCCTGATAAGTAAACCCTCTTAGACTATAAATTACAGAGCAGGTATAGATGGATTTTATAGTGTAGGGAGTTTCCTCACTAGGGAATCTTTATGCCAATGAAATCCCCCCCCCCAGCAAATATTCTGTTACAGAGATCTGTTGGAATTAACTACTATTCCTTTGCTGTAACGGGAACAGTAAGTCTACAATAAAAGCACATTTGTTGTCATCCTTTCAGCTGCATATGTTTATGTTTACTTATCAGCACTTCTTCAGTATGTAGTACAATAACAACTGCTTTTCATAATGATGGCTGTCTAGGCACTCAAGTCACTCATTCATTCAGCAAAGAAGGTATATGACCTGTTTGTTTACAGGATGAGGACATTTCTTCTGCCATGGAGTTCAACATCTTGTCTACAACTTAGTCTTGAGAGTTGCCCAGAGTCGTTGTTGTCCCACAGCCAGTATATGTTATGGGTAGTATTTGAACCCAGGTCTTTGTGGCTCCAGAACCAGCTGTCTGTCAACAACATCCCTGACAAATACATGCTTATCAAACTTTTGCTTTGTGCCAAGAATTGTTGCAGTGAATAGATAGCAGGCCTTCAAGCTAGAAAGAACTGGCTTTAAGTTCTGACTCTGACGCATAATGATTGTGTAATTTTGGTTGTAATTCATTTTCTTAGCGCCTCTAGGGCGATAAATCTCTAAGACTGTAAGTTGCAGAGAAAGTGCTAACCTGCATTAGTTGAGGGAGGTTCCTTGCCCAGAAATTCCCTGTATCAGTGAAATCACACATCCAGTCCATCACTATGTGCAAAGTACTGCGCATCAAAGGAGATAAATAAGTGTGACATGGCCCCCTTCCTTAAGGAACTGGTAAACTAGTAGAGTGGATAGAGCACCAGGCCTGGAGTCAGAAAGACCTGAGTTCAAATGTGGCCTCAAAAATTTACTAGCAGGGTAACCCCGGGCAAGACACTTAACCCTATTTCCTCAGTTTCCTTATCTGTAAAATGAATTGGAGAAGGAAGTGGCAAACCACTCCAGTATCTTTGCCAGGAAAACCCCACATGGGGTCAACTGAACACCAACCAACAAGTAGAGGAAAAAAGACATATAAAATATCTGTAATACAAAGTATATTCCAAATATATATGAGAGGTCCAAAATGCATTGGAGCACCAAGGAGGGAGAAATCACTTCTGACCTAAAGCATTAGTGAAGTGGATTAGAAAATGGTGGCATATTTAGGTTAATGTGAAACTTACTCTATTTCCTGATTTTTCTGTTTTATTTTTTTCTTCAGATTTTTATTTTCACTATTAAAAACTGATTGCAAGAAAAATATCCTTAAGGAGAATGATTGCTTTTGATGGTAGCGAACAAATTTGTCCTAAGAGCAGGATACTAGATTTTGTTTTTAGGCTTAGGTAAAACTGGGCAACATAATTCCATAGCAATATATAGCAACTGTCCGCTAGGTATCATGTGATACAAACTGTTGTTTTCTAGTGTCACCTTAGGAAGGTGTAGTTATAATTTTCATACCACTTATTGTGAATTTAAGTCCTAATCTCCTAGTCCTGAAATTAAAAAGCTGAGAGAACTGGGATTTCTTTTCTGCTTTGGGGTTTTCCTTGGTGCCTCCTGGCAGTTAACATCAGTGAATGAGCAAGCAGCCAGTAGTCTACTTTATGGCGTTCCTGAGTTCTCAGAGAAGCTTGCATTGTACCCTCAGAGTTCTTTTTGTTGCTTGTTTTTCTCTTTCCATGTGTATTGTTCTTCTTTCATCTCTGTATGACTCTGGGCAAGTCACTTAACCTCCAGATCTCAATCTCCGAGGGCCTCTAAGGTTCCTCTACCTCAAAGCTGTACATAATCCTCTGATCCTCCCAACAACCTTCCTATACCTTATTATAGAAAAAGTTGTACAAATAACTTTGAGAATTGATAAATTGGGGATAGGATTTGATATATGGCATCTGACTTTTTTTATACATCACTTAACAACTTTTCAGATTGTGTGTTCCTGTAAATATTCTCCTTTTTTTCCACTTTCTGGTGAGGTAGTAATTATTAATTCTTTTTGCATGAAAATTTCTTACTATGACAAAGACATCATACATTTTTTATGGTCTTGCTCTTTCCTTATTGCCTTTGTACAAGGCCAGAAGAGAAACATTTGCAGCTTTTACAGCCTTGAATCGGACTCCAGGAATATCACCAACAGCATGACCTTTTTGACCAAATCCGGCAACCAGAACTTCATCATTTTCCTCAATAAAGTTCAAGCAGCCATCATTGGGAACAAAGGCAGTGATAAATCAGCTGGACCCTCACACATTTCCTGATGGCAGAATTGGGCTGCTTGGCTTCCATACCAACTTTTTCCAAGATGATCCCTTTCGCGTGAGATGCTCCTCCAAATGGGTTGGTCTTCAAGGCAGTGCCCAAATGAGCTTCTTATATTGTTTGTCATGCTACTTTTGGTCTCTCCTGTGGCTTTGGAGCTTTCTAGCAGCATGAAGACCATGGCACTTACCCATGCTGCCCCCTGTCCCGGCCCAGAGAAAAGAGAGAAGGGGTAGTAATTATTATTATTATGATTTTTTTTTTTAGGCAATTGGGGTTAAATGACTTGCCAAGGGTCACATGGCTAGTAAGTGTCAAGTGTTTGGTCTGGGGCTGGATTTGAACTCAGGTCCTCCCGACTTCAGGGCTGGTTCTCTATCCACTGCACCACCTGGCTGCCCCGTTAGTAAATATTTTGAATGTTGTATTTGTGTCCACCTTATGCTGTAGTACAACATTTGGCAGAGAGAGGGGACAGTCCTCCTCCAAAGCTCAGAGAGGTTAAGTTATTCGACTTTTTACATAAGCTGGAATTGGAATTTAAACTCCTGTCTCTCTCATCACCCCAAGTCCCATGGTATGGGACACCTACTTCACTAGGTTGTCTCTCAAGGACCCCTATAGTCTCCCTGTATTTGGTTGCTAGATTTTTGGGATATTGTATTCAGTGTTGAGTGCCAC